TATCACTGTAACAGGCTGCAGGGGATATTTATCAATTGGTTCGTAGGTGCTTCATCGATATATCAAGCACGCGGGAAGTTTGATGAGCACGAAAGTAGCGTAGGAGTTGCTCAAGGCGCAGCCAATAGCAACTCTAGCCTCTTGAAACTATCCAAGTGCTTCAGTTTCTCGATGTGCATTTCATTTTGTCAGCTGTGCATTTCTCAAGATATGAATCACTTAGAAGGTTTAAAGAGCGCTTAAGAAGCTAGTGTTGCTCTCGGCTGCGCCTCAAGCATCTCCTACGCATCTTATGCGATCCCCAAACTTTCTCATTGAACGCACTCCGACTTATGAAACAAAAATTCGAAATCCTACATAACTTTAACATAACTTTCTCTCTGATTGCCCGAAAATCTATCGTTTATTGTGCCGCTAAAGCACTAAAACTCTTCGGCCTTGAGTCATGTTTTGATGTCATATCTTATGCGGAGGCAACTCTAATAGATTAACTCTCATTTAAAGAGAAGAGGTACCCCACAGCTGAGCTGAGAAAAAAAAACATGAATTTGACCTCCCTTTTTCAACTTTAAAGTCCTTTAAGTCATTGAAAATCCATGGACATCAAATATCGGAACGGAAATTGTCGTGCTATTCACAACCTCTGCGTCAATGTGTCAAGCTCGATGGTGCAGAAAGTCAAACCCAGTTCTAACGCGGTCCAACCCTCTTTCCTTTTTTTTATGAATTTTTATAACATGCTTTGAAAAGAAAGCTGTTGTTGAGAGTTACAATAATTTTTCGACATTTTGGTCAAAGTACTATCCATCCAAACTGAAAATGACTATTACCTGTAGTTCAGAAATTCGATCCGATGATGATAGGGAAAGCTTGATAATTGACAGCCTTCAACTCAGCGAGAAAGAGGAAAAGTGCTCCTCTGGAGATGATTCACCTGCACTTCTTCACTACATAGCTCTCTGCGCCAGCAACGGTGTTTGCGGCTTTATGGCGTTTGTAACATACTCTTTGTTTTCACCATTCTTTCCTCAAGAGGTTAGTACTTATATTTATTGATTAATGATATATCACAAATGAAGCCTACATTGGAAAAAAAATGTAATTCCTAGTATAATAAGTGATTAGTTGTCCTCATATAATGATTTCAAACTCTAAATCAACAAAGAGGGTTACGGATGCTCCTTTTTAGAATATTGAATCATGTACCCATAATTTATCAGAAGTGTGTAAAAGTGTGTAGTATAAAAGAGGATGTGGTAATATTTTTCATTGATAGTTTCCTAACCAGGGTATTTTGACTTAGACTTCAATTTGAATTTTAATCTCCTGCTTGTAGCTATTGATATTCTTAAAAGCATGTATAATAAAGCCTTTTCTTCTTCTTCTTTTTTAAATATTTTTTTTTTGTGAATGATGATTTACACCATTTGTATGATCCTTAAGGAAACATTTCTTCTTCTAGGAAAAACAAAACTGCCCATTTTATGCGGAGGTTACAGACAATATGACAGAAATAACCAAATACATATTCTTTTACAATAAAGAACTTTTTAGAAAATTTTAATCTCTTCCTTAGAAGTAAATCTCTTCGTGTTATGTCTGCACCCTGGAAAGCATCAAGTTAATAGCTTTTAACGTACATTAAACTTATAAAAAACCTGATTTATATCATAATGCTATAATCTCATATTATGATCGTGGAATTATCGTCATCATCGTTTATTTTTAGCAATACAAAACAAAACAAATTTCTGAAAGGATTATAATGTATAGAAGGCGAGGAGACGTCATTATAACCTAGTGGATTTTTTTTACTGTTATTTTTGCCAGATCTAACGGAAAAACTTTAAACCTTACCTTCATCTTTTGCTCTTAGATCAATGTCAACATTCTCTAAAAAGTTTTAAATCTAGCTTTCAAATGAGTTGTAAAACGATGGTGACATTTTTCTACTGTTACCAATTCTAATGGAAAATGTCTGTGGTCAAAATCAGATTTGATTCTCTAATTAAAGGAAGGGCTCGTTAAACAATTGCCTTCAATCCAACAGGAGAGTGCAGTACTCGAGCTCAGATTTCTCTTGAGTTAGTTGACTTTGGACTCTTCGAAGCATAGTTATTATCATCCCCATCAGCATTGTCTACTTTGTGGTTTTTTAGGCACGTTCTGTAAATCATTTACTATTCTTTCTCAGTGAGGGTAGCACCTAGCACTCCCAATCGCTCTGTCGAAGGGCTAACGCTCGAAACGTCAGCTTTTTGACTCTTGACGGCGGCCAATTTATGTTTTCAACTCAGTTGCTAACACTAAATTACCTGCTGGCTCTTACATTTTTTGATGAATACTAATATAATTCTGTCTAGGACGCCCACGTTTGCCAATTTTTACACTCTATTAAATTTAACCAGTATGTAATGTGTTAACGATTCTCATTCCTAAATGTCATTTTTTCCCTTGAAATTACGGAAGGGCTCGTTAAACAACAGCTTTCAATCCAACAGAAGAGTGCAGTACTCGAGCTCAGATTTCTCTTGAGTTAGTTGACTTTGGACTCTTCGAAGCATAGTTATTATCATTCCCATCAGTATTGTCTACTTTGTGGTTTTTTAGGCACGTTCTGTAAATCATTTACTATTCTTTCCCAGTGAGGGTAGCACCTAGCACTTCCAATCGCTCTGACGAAGGGATAACGCTCGAAACGTCAGCTTTTTTACTCTTCATGGCGGCCAATTTACGTTTTCAACTCAGTTGTTAACACTAAATTACCTGCTAGCTCTTACATTTTTTTATGAATATTAATATACTTCTGTCTAGGACGCCCACGTTTGCCAATTTTTACACTCTATTAAATTTAACCAGTATGTAATGTGTTAACGATTCTCATTCCTAAATGTCATTTTTTTCCCTTGAAATTACGGAAGGGCTCGTTAAACAACAGCTTTCAATCCAACAGAAGAGTGCAGTACTCGAGCTCAGATTTCTCTTGAGTTAGTTGACTTTGGACTCTTCGAAGCATAGTTATTATCATTCCCATCAGCATTGTCTACTTTGTGGTTTTTTAGGCACGTTCTGTAAATCATTTACTATTCTTTCCCAGTGAGGGTAGCACCTAGCACTTCCAATCGCTCTGACGAAGGGATAACGCTCGAAACGTCAGCTTTTTTACTCTTCATGGCGGCCAATTTACGTTTTCAACTCAGTTGTTAACACTAAATTACCTGCTGGCTCTTACATTTTTTGATGAATACTAATATAATTCTGTCTAGGACGCCCACGTTTGCCAATTTTTACACTCTATTAAATTTAACCAGTATGTAATGTGTTAACGATTCTCATTCCTAAATGTCATTTTTTCCCTTGAAATTACGGAAGGGCTCGTTAAACAACAGCTTTCAATCCAACAGGAGAATGCATTACTCGAGCTCAGATTTCTCTTGAGTTAGTTGACTTTGGACTCTTCGAAGCATAGTTATTATCATCCCCATCAGTATTGTCTACTTTGTGGTTTTTTTTAGGCACGTTCTGTAAATTCACTATTCTTTCCCAGTGAGGGTAGCTAGGAATCTCTGCGATATTTCAATTGGTTTGTCACGCATTTCTCTCGATAACTTTTGCGTTTAGCGGCTATTCGAGATTAGTGGAGGCGCGTAATTGCCGCTCAGATCGAAGAGAAACTGGAACCCAAATAGGTCAAATAGGAGAAATCGAAAACCGCATCGGATATCAAATCCGAAAACTGCATCGGATATCAAATCCGAAAACCCGCTGGTATTTTTCGCGAAAACCGAAAACCAGATGCTGAAAATAGGTATAGCCGCAAACCGCAATGAACACCAAAACCGAAAAACCGAAGTTTTTTGGTACAAAAACCGAAAAACCGATCTAAAAAATAGCTGAAACCGTAAAACCGAAAATCCCAATACCCCCTCGTTTTGGTCTCGGTCCGCATTTTTGTGAACAGAATTAACACACCGTTTAAAAAGATGATAATATGAACCACGTGTAAAGCTGTCAATTGTTTCTCGAATGTTGCGCGTGTTAAATATTCAGTAGTGACATCTCATTAACATCTACATCCACATCTACTTTTATTACATTGGTAAAATCTGTACAGACATCACACCAACCAACTCGCGCGCAAAGTGAGAAAACTATATGAAGGCTTGAAATTATATTAAGATCGATTTTGATCAAGAAATGGGCCAGGAATATTCCACAATAATGCAAATAATCGTGAAAGCTGATCGCGGAAAAGTGATTGCGTGACGCTCGGTAAGTTGTAAGATGACATGTTATCACACGCCAGACGAAAAAACTCTTTAGATTCTTAGTATGCATTTTGTACTCACTCTGCAGTCTGCAGTCTACATTTTATACCTAGTCTACATTTTGCATCCGGTTTGCAGTCTGCAGTGTGCATTTTGTACCAACAGTTATCCGTGGCACCAATATAGTTTATTTTTGGTTACAGTTATTCGCACAACACACACAATTTACCACAAAATACCTGTGTGTGAGTTAATGCGACATTTTTGTTCTTTTCCGCGTTAATACTCTTCTTTCCTTTTGAAAAATATAGACATCACTTATAATGTTTCAAGTAATGCAGTCATGGAATTTTCTGACTTGAAAAGATCCCTAGCTTCCTAGGATTTTAATTCGTCTCCTGGATAAGGAAGTGTTGGCGTAAAGGGGAGGATGGTAAAAAAGAATCTCTTTCACAAGCTTCAACATTGCCATGACTGAAAATTAAAAAAAGAAATACTCTGTACACTCATGGCAAAAGGCTCATCACAATTACCTTGAAAAGTACAGAGGTAGAAGGTTTGAGGGGAGAGGGGTGGGGCAAAGGGCTAAACTGGCGGAAGTAGGAGCTTAATGAGGGTCTAGGGATGGTTGTTGTGCATAGTTTCCAATCAATAATGCCTCTTTTATGGTTTCTTTTATAAGTTTTGCGATTTATCATTCAATTTTTCTTCTTCTTTTTTGTTGACTTAAAGGCAAGGGATAAAGGCGTGTCTGGAACTATAGTGGGTTTGATCTTTGGAACTTATTCGTTTGTGATTTTCATTTTTTCGCCATTTTGTGGAGTTCTTGTAAGTATTTGACTCTGAAGGATATTCATAATAGTTGAAATATTTGAACCATTTGTTTGTATATTTATCATTATTCCCTTTTTCAGCCTAAATTGGACAACAACAGTTTTTGTTTCCATATTTTCTTGAATATTAGGCGTTTAATCAAAGGAGGGCATTGGAAAGGGGAATCAAGGGCAAGGGGAAGGGGGGAGGGGCGTGCTTATCAAGTTAGCACAGCAATAGGATGAAAACCAAAGAACAGATAACACACATAAGTGATCTCAGTACCACATGGAGATAAAAATAACTGAAACAGAAAAGAAACTATTCTCCTGAACTGATTTTGCGGTAGTTTGTAAAAGTTAAAAATAAAGTGGCAATAGGAACAGTTTTTTCTTGTACGCCTACCTCTTAAGAAAGTAAGGGAGGAAGTGGGGTGCTTGTTTGAGATTATGGGGATGGGCGCATATTCGGGAGAGGACGCTTATCGGTATTTGAGCTTGGACGCTTATTCGAGGAAATACGGTATTTTAGAGTTACTTCTTAAGATGACAAACTTCATCCCCTTCAGATCAAAGTGGGCTTAATGAGGCAGAAACTGAAACAGTTTATAAAAATAGTGCATTATGACAAATCTATATTTGGCATCCTCAACCCTTTAAATTCTAATAGTGACAAGCATCTCATTCCTCCTTACAATAATACTGATGAGTCATTCATTAAGATTATGAGAATAAAGGAAATTATCTCCATCCCGAGAAGCTTTGATAGATAGGTGAATTCTCCTTGTCTGTACCAAAGAAATGTACAGAAAGAGTATAGAGAATTTAGATACTGACATTTGGGCGTAAAGAGATAATAGATGATTTATGAGAACCACATGGCCACAACTCAGTTATATGTAGTTTTCTGCTTGGATCAACAATTGAATTCCAAGCTTTTTCATAATCATTTACTGAGGAGTAATTTGTATCACTTGCAGATACCAAAATATGGCCCTAGGTTTGTTCTCTACTCAGGGCTTCTTCTTTGTGGGGGATCATTGGTTTTATTTGGGTGAGCTAAAATATTGAATTAAATGATTTCTATATTACTGCTTTAAACAAAGATACACTATGTATGGCTTTTGTATCTTTCAGATTTTGTGACATGATTGTAGATCGGGATGTGTTCATAGCTGTTTGCTTTGTGTTAAGAGCAACATGTGCCATTGGAGGGGCTGCAACTGAAACCTCAACAGTGTCCATTTTACTGACAAAATTTCCTGATAATGTTGGAATGGTTTCAGTATGTGGGATTTTTTTTTCTTGAATTCAAACTAAATCAGTTTTGTAATAAATGTATTGTTGGTCTTAAAATGTGAAGATTACAGTAATGATGTACTTTGATATGCACGATGAATTAGAGGTTCTAGTCGGTTTAAAATGTTATGAAAGAAATATGCAGTTATCATATGACGTAGCATAGTGACTGATGAATGAATGCTTATTTTTAGTTATAATGATTAAGGTGGCTCTATCAAACTCGCTGAGAAAAGGCATCACTCAGTAGCCACTGTATAAAGCTTGTCATGAAATTTCCTGAGTAATTCTCTTTTTCTTTAAACGTCATTTTCTAGGGCGTGGTGGAGACAGCTGCTGGAGCCGGAAATGCCTTTGGTCCAGTTATTGGAGGATTTCTTTACACAGTATGTACAAGGCATGATCTTTATCTGATACATTTTCTGGTTTAAATTTGTAGGTAATATATCAGGCAAATATGATCTGGTAAGCATCCTTAAATTGATGAAATTGAACAAGGAAGTCATGTCGATCAACGTTACATTCAAAAACGTTACTGGTTTTCTTTTTTTCTTTGAATACCTATGCTCCTTTCAGCCATGTTTCAGTACTCGTGTTGTCTAAGAGACGCTACCTCACCCCCCACCCCTCCCCTACATCATAGTGAGGTTGAACACTTAGTTATCCCAGCTTTTTCGTCCACAGAGCATATCGAGGAAATAAACAAAGATATTAGTAACTGGGTAATTAAAGCTGCAGTGAAATGCTGTCATCAATGTTCATTCATCTTAAATGATCTCATTTCTAGGTTGGTGGTTTTAAACTTCCATTCTTTGTCACGGGTGGCACTTTGATTGGTGCAATTCCAATTATAGCATTGGCACTTGGCAAAGGTTTGATTTTGAGATTTTTTTTAGTTTATCATCTAGTTTATCTTACTGGTTAAATATCAATAAGGATTCCATGAAAGCTTTGTTTTAAGCTGAAGTAATAAAAATAAATTACAAACAGGTTCAAGAAAAATAGTTTGCCGCGAGTAAACAAAATAGCGGAACGGCGTTTGAATCAGTGCATATGCACGGCTCGATGTTGTTGTCTTTCGATTTTGCTACAATAATGTTATTAAATAATTGAAAGTTAAGTCATCATAATGGAAATAAATTTCACCAGTAAAAATTCCAATTTTTATTCTACCTTTATTTCACTAAAAATTATCCAGAAAATATTAAAACTGCCTCCAAGGCTTGCAAACTTTCAACAAAAACTTCCGTAAAAATTATCAGATCGCAATCGCAGAAGTAGCCAATTCTGGCCACAAAAATCGCATTTTAGCCATCTAAATTGAAGTATTCTTCAGAAGCACGTCATAGTTTGTGCCTTCATCTTGCATATGGCCATTTCTCTTCAGTTTTCTTTTTAATCTCTGCTCGTGAATGAATTGTGTTCATTCATTGAGAAATTAGTTTTACTCTTTGCTCTTCTGACCGGCAGGTCATTCAGTTTCAGGCTCTCTGATTGGTTTAATCGCACTTTTTGAAGGTTTTCATGAGAATCAGCGACTTGATCACAAAATAGAAATAAATTTATCATTCTATCTTGTAAGCTTCTCGGCTGCGCCTCGTGGTTTGTAAACTTTTCACGTGTTCTCCCAATATTACGCCGTAAACCGATAGAAAAGGGGGTTTATTGCTTAAATACATGTTAAAAAGGCGCTGAGATTCAAAGATCCGTCAATATGATTAGGGAATGAGTAAGCAAAAACGTCAGTCTATAAACAATCTTTCAGTTCACCCTTGAGTCGTTGTTGTTATGTATGTCTCCTTTATTATAATGTACGCTACATAGACATAAACTAGCTTTGAAATCGTTTCAAGGTAATATATACCATTATTGTTTTTTTAGAGGGCACGGTAACGAATCTTGCAATCTGATTGGTTCTTTACCCGGTCAGTATTTTCCTATCTCTGCCCACGGGCCACGGTAACGCTTTCGTGAGTCGCCGAGTACATCCCAACTTTCGTTGTCATTTTTCATAAACATACCTCGTTTTCCGGCTGGGCAGTATTTTTAAGCAAACACGTCGGTCACTACCTCAAGCCGATAAATAACTTATGAATCCTCTCTTTTCTCTCTATCAAATCACTTTGGTTGACAGAAAAATATTGGTTTCAGAATGAATTTGTATAAACAATAGTGTCATTACTTTGGTTGACAAGCGGCCTAAAAACCGTCTGCAATTAATTTTAATCGTTCAAAAAAAATACCCAGAAAGTTGAAACGTGAGGTATTTGGTTACAGTTAAACTGAACGATGGAACTTTCATTCATTTAATATCTGAATTTTCTCGAGCAATTTGTTCATAGTGAAAGAGCGAGCGAAGTTTTAATTTAAGTTCTACAACAAATATACGCTCCTGGTGAGTCTTTCCAATTCCGTTCAATTTGGACATTTGTACCTTAAATTGCACAACAGAAATTGAAGGAATTTTTTGAGAAAAGGCCGCATTACATTCCCTTGTATCTCGTTGGAGTGTGCCGTTCGAATTTAGTTTTTGTGAAGGAAAGATCAGAGTTAAACACGCCATTACAGCAAACAAACGAGCAAACTCTCACAACTTCAAAATAAAAAAATTGAATTTACTCACAATTACTTTCCTCGCCGTTTACTTAATGAACAGAGGTTAATCTTCGTACATGAATGAATGGTCGATGAGAGTGAATAATACTTTCCGTTAGATCATTAACTGATTTTGAAGAAAACATTGTCGTGACAGTCCTTGCCAAACTAGTTCTGTTGGTTTTCAAATGTTCCTACGCTTTTTTTTTTCTTGCGCGCTCTCTAATTGACAGGTGTCAGATTGTGACAGATACTTGTAAAAATAATGTTTCAAAGTTTGTTTGGAAGCCTTTTAAATCACCTTTATCGTTACGGAAATGAAAATGTTTCGCTGAGGCATCTCTCTTAAATTTGCATCACCTCTATTTTAACTACCATTTAATCACTCAAAAATTGTTCAGTTTATGGAAGATCTTGCCGTATTTACGGCCATAAATCATTCGGGTTCTTTCGGAAAGAATTTCGTCAAGTTTAAAAACAATAAATATGTTATTTACCGGCTAAGGGTCGGTCCGTATGGTGAAAAACTGTGACCTCGGTCTTGAAAATGCTGCCCTCGGCCTACGGCCTCGGGCAGTATTTTCAAGACCTCGGTCACAGTTTTTCACCATACGGACCTCCCAGCCGGCAAATAAAATATATTTACTCTTTAACAAACACTTTGGTAACCAAATATCATGTTAGCCACCAACATGAAAATGCAGGGTAGATTGGTGATTGTGTCAGTATACCGATGCATTTGTTCGCGGTTGGCTGCGCCCCAGGTTTTTCATTAGTTTTTGGAGTCGAAACGCTTGTACCTGCGTATAAGACGCACCCCTAACATAAGTTCCATTCTTTGGCTGTGGCTAATCTATGAGTAAAAACAGTATATCAAGCCCATCCTTTAGGATCGTGTGGGTAAAAAGCATTTAACTGAAAGGAAATTCAGCCCTGGGGCCGCATATTTTTTTTGCTGATCACCTCTAACTCAGGCTATGGGAATAAAACGAGAAACAGGAGTTCCTCCACTGCATTGAGTGTAGTTTTGAGCCATATTAGCCCGTCCCTGAGAAGTTTCTATCTAATATTACATTGTGTTAATTTAAAAACTACAAACCAGGAGAAGAAGAGAAGAAAGACGAGGACAAGGAATCAATATCCAGGTTAAAAGTGCTTAAAATTCCATCTGCACTCATGTTATGTAAGTACATGAGTACTCTTAACATTTAACCTATTATTTCTGATAATGGATGATGGAGAGTTAATATTACTGGATTGAGGGTAGCCAGAATACTTCTTTTGGCAGAACATTTATGTGGATACCACGCCTATCTCAAAACAAGTACCTCTGAAAATAAGTCAGGATCAGCGATTGAAAAGAGCAGAGGCCTTTTATTTTAGCTACATGTGTTAATGAGTTAGAGCTGTTACAACTGTAAAGAGAAATAAGATTGGTCTCTAATAAATTTTTCTGCCATTTTATTCCAGCTCTCTGCTTTGTCGTCAGTGGTTTTTCATTTCCTTACTTTGAGCCTGTCTTAGGGCCGCATTTAGAGCAGGTACACCACGACTTTTACTTTAATATTATGACAGGTGTTTTTGACTTAACATATAATGCTTTAGACTGTCACAGAGCATGCTACGTCAACTGTATGGTTTTATCAAATTTGACCTGTCTTCGAGAGGAAAACCTGGGCACCAGAATCTTTTAACGCGAACATTCGAAAATACTCCAGGATTTCGTTAGTTTTGTTTAACTTCCCTTTTGTGATTCACTAAACTCGCGCCAAAAATAAAAGTGATCACGAATGGGTCACTTGCATTTTATTGTGCATCACCTAGATTCCTTCTATGTACTTAATTTGAGTTCCTTATAAGCTCTGTGGGATGTTTTTCTATTTTCTGAGTAGACATTGTCACTACTTCGGTTTCCGGTGTTAGACACTAAGTCGACAGGCTCTCATTATTATTAACGCTGCAGGATGCGCTTTTCTCCGCACGTTGGAAGGTTCGAGACGAGTCGGGAAGAGGTTTGCTGGAATCTGGCAGAGCCCAAACAGACCGCTGGCCGGCTTGCTTTTCTGAAGAACTCAGGCTTCCTCGCAGGCAAAGAAACGCTCGTGTTGCAGCGCTCATGATGAGTGTCTGCTTGAAGGCTTAATAGAAATGCCTGTTTCTAGTTACTAAGATGCTTCACTTAAAATTCAGTTCGCCAAAATTTTAGAGCCGTCTGTCTTCCAAGCTGAGCTCAATTGTCCAATTTTTTAAGGTTCTCAAACGATGGTATCTATTCACTTCACAGATGGGTCAAAATACAACACAGATTTATCTCGTTTTTCTTTATTGGTCTGGCACGTACACTCTGTTAGCGCCAATAGTGGGCTACATAGGAGATAAAACGGTAAGTTATCGCTTTAGCATAGCAACAATTAACTTTGCATCAGGATCTGACATTATCACAATTTCCAAATCTACGGTCCAAGAAATTTCATCAAAAAGACAAGCGATTACCATCAAAGGAAACTAAGACTTCTTCATGTGAGTTTTTTTTTTTCTTTTATGTGGAATTGTAAGGGAAGGGGTGGGGTTCCCAGTGCATTATGGAATCCGTAATGGTATGTTCAAACCGAATTTCACGATGACCAACAAGGTCCATTCCTTCCCAATCAAGAGTGTCTTTCTCAGAGGCCGGGGATTGGGTTGTGTCGAAATAAAATGGATTGTAAAAAGCAAAAAGTGCTGTGAAAAAATGGCGAGTTTTGGCGACGTCTTGCTGTAGAGAGTTTTCCCAAATATTGTCTACTTGGATTTCTGTAGGTTCTCTAGGGAGAACAGTTACCGTTACCTCCGATTTACTGTTGATTCAGTTGTCAACTCGAGGCGTCACTTCAGAGAAAAACTCATATACCCGCAATCTGGGTTCGCTTGTTAAAAACTCATGTTGACGCCTCTTCCTCGTGTGTGATTTAGCGTGACTTAAAAATAAATGCATGATTTTTATACAATTCCATTCTTCTCTATTAATTTCTTCTCAGAACTGTTATCGATCGATGATTATAGTAGGTTTTATTGGATTTTTCATTGGATATCTGTTGATGGGACCTGCTTCATTTCTCACGTTCTTACCACCTAAGTATGTGTACTAATCATTTTGCATACTCTTGAAATGTTAACGCTTTAACTCCCACTGGATCTGATTGTTAATTTTCTATTTTGGCTGCTACAAATTTCCTTGAAAATTGGTAACGAGAATTTGGTGCTAGATCACGAAAAGACTTCTACTTGATAAGATCGATTATTCTCATTACCTGTTTGCTGGACAAAGTATGGAAATTATAGTGATAGGTTACAGTTTTATAACTTCTGGGAGTCGTAAGCTGAAGAAAAAGTACACGTTAACAAATAATACTCACAGATAAGCTGCAATTTAAGCAATTGCAGAAAAAAACCTGTAAAAGTTCAGGTTTCAATAGGATTCGAACGAGCGCTTCTAACCACTGAGCCGCAGAGCCACATTTAGTGAGCAAGGCAAATTTAAGTGGGGCCTTTATTTGCCTTAAAATGATTTGCCAACAAATATACTGGCAACATTTTGGTGAATGATCGAAACTTTTCAAAATTAATCTGTGTTTTGAGCGATTAGTACATGTTCAAACAAGTCAGAGGTCACCAGCGTGCGATCCCACGCAGATTTGTAGCTGCAATTATCAACTTTCAAGCCTATTTCTAAATCAATCGAAAACTGAAGTTCAGTCACCTGAAAAAAACCTTATTTTGATGGTAAACTACTCATTGGATCCCGCTATTCTTGCAGGACGATTTGGCTGGTTATTTTTGCAATAACCATCCAAGGAATTGCTGGTGGTTTTGCTTTTGTACCCATCATGCCTGACCTTATTAAAAGTTTAAGGTAAGTAGCAATGTTTTCGTAAGGCTCGTTTCTTTTCTTTACCAAGGATAAAGTTTCAGTTAGTGAATGGCAGAGTCTAGGAAATCCAGTTGGGAAGAGTTTAAGTTACTGGAAGACAACCTAATTGATTTATTTATAGATATGTTTTTGTGTCAATGATTTTGGGCTTGCTTTTGTTACCTCTTTTCCTCTTGCAGGGCAAATGGAATGCCCGATAATTCCTCCACAAACGCGCTTGTGTCGAGTATTTACGGTTCTATGTACTATTTAGGGTATGTGCTCTTTTTTCACTGATTATTTCTCTTTTTTGTGTTAGTTGCTGAAACGGCAACGATATGAGGGAGGGCAGACGCTAACATCCACTCTGAAAATGTATCATGTACATTTTTTCAATTCCTTCTTTACAGAGCAACAATTGGACCCAGTCTGGCTGGAGTATTAGATGATCATTTTGGATTTGAGTGGGCCATGAGTGTAAGTGCTGTTTTCATCATTCGAGGCATTTGATCTACGCTACGAAACTTAATATTATGAAGAGTTTGGGGATAAGTCAGTATTTATCGAACGGCGGTGGTGGGGTGGGGGAGTGAAGGATTTTGGTAAGGATCACATGGTTTTCAAGGGAAACAGATGGGGGATCACTCCGTTCAGCCGTCGCAACAGAGTATAAGGGGAACTATAGAAAATTAACTGTTAATTACCTGTCAGTGAGAGGGGACAAGAGATGATGAGGCGGATTTTGGTTATGTCAAGATAGAATTTAGTTCCAACAAACTCTCCACCCCACCCCCCTCCTTCCTGATCGCTAAATAATGACCCGAGTGTCCTTAACAGAAATAACGATGTACTTGTAACAAGTATTTATTCTCGGTTTCCTACTTTTGCAGGTAGCAGCTTTCATCTGCCTTTTCCATGTGGGTACACTGATAATTTCGCTTCCGCATGATTATTTTACTTTATTTTTGGTGTTTCGTTCTTTCATATTTCATTTTAAAGAGGAAGATTTTTCTCGAAAAGAAATCTTGTTATTATTTTTGCTATTGTTGTTCTTTTTACGTAAAGGTTTTGTAGTTTAAGTTTTATGAATATCTTCTGTCACCATCTTAGAGTTTCTTTGTTTTTTCAGACCCTGGTGATTTGTTTATTCACGATGAGTGAAAAGATCTCTTTAAGGTTGGTAGATAGCTCAATGACGTTAGTAACAGTTGTTCTTTTTTCTGCTAAAAGTACTTTACTAGTAGCTAGAACCCCTTTTTGGAGTAATCATGAAGGAACGTAACTGAATTCGACTAGTCCTGATTTACAATAATTTGTAATTTTTTTGTCACATTGACCCTTTTGGAAGGAATTGCGCGCATGAAGAAATAAAAAAATAACTTCAGATAAGCCTTGTCTTACGGTCTTAAAGTGAAACTGAATTAACACGTTGCACGACTACTAGTGCTCTTACGAACGGAACGTTGATTTACAATTTCTCAGGCCAAGCTTTGCAAAACCCTTTGGGTATTAATCATAGTCAACTTCTTGAAAAATAACCATATGTTGCCAAGGTAATTAAAAATGTTTTTGTGCAAACCAACGAACTGAACACAACGACCTAACTTTACTGACGCATCAGGACTGACCAATCACAATTAAGGTGATTCCATCGAAAAAGAAGGTGTAATGGCATTTCTTTTTTACTTTGCACAGTTGTTAACTACTCTAAGCTAATCCAAAACATAAACAAAAAGTTGGGGTTACCTTCCTCATTTTCGAGTTTTAGGGCTGTTATAAAAACTACTCTGGTTAAGAATATATGAAAGTCATATATTTGAACTGCGGATAAAGACATGACACACCGGTTCTGCACTGGTATCGCAGAGGTCATGGGTTCAAATCCCGTACAGGCCTGAATTTTTTTCAGGCCTTATTTCCACTACTGCCTAAGTAGTGCACATTACTGAGAGGATCACTTTCATTCAAAAAACTACTCTGTTAGCTTGTGATACCAGAATTGAAAATCCTATCCTAGAGTGTAAAGTACCCTCTATTTCCAGAAAGTAGTCAATGAATGCGAAAAGAATGTTTTGCTCTTATGATCCCACAACAATGTTGTGGTAAACCATTTAAACGTTTTCAAAAACATCAAAGTGGTGAATAATAGGCCCGCCGATCAGTACTCCCTCTCTCGGACAAAACACCTAACATCACATCGCAACAATTATTCGAAAAGAATATTTAAACATCAACGAATGAAAAAATCTTCAAAGTTGGATATATCATGGAGGATGGCATTTTCTCTCGATGCGTGGAATAAAACTGGGGGTCACCATGCCCGTTTTTCCGCAATTGTTCGGTGAAGGTGACAAATTCACTTCTGCTGTGCATTTTTCCGAGAGGGCACTGGAACGAGTTTCTTCCCATACTCCAGTCTCGCTTACTGAAGTTTCGAAATTTTGACTTTTATAAGCTAGACGCCTATTTTTCATGATATCTGATACACATTTTTCTACGCTTTAGCGTTTTGTTGTTGCAAAACCGGCCTGTGTTGTCTTTTTTTATGATACCGGCTTTAAAAGCGGCCGCTATCTTGGATGTCTCAATGTTTTGCGCAGTAGAGGTGCGCAATGCAAAACCAGGGAATCACCTTTTGTTTGTGTTGTCAAAATGGAGTACCTTTACTTGAACTAGTTAACTGCACGACTGTACTATTATTTATTTATTTTTTTTTTAAATTTAGGGGAAATTCTGACCCATCAGAAAGGGAACCTCTCACTGTTAACAGCAGGAAGAGGACAACAATTGAATGAAATGTTGACAAGTGTTTAAAATGTAAAGTTGGATTTAACATGTAGAAACATGTCACGATGACTCTTCGCCGAAGAAGAAAGAAAAGTAATGTTATTTAAAGCAAAGTGAAGAAGAACCAAATAAATCCCGGATAACTGTTGATAATATCCTCTCGAGCTCAACGTTACCGTAATTACCACCAACGTTTCGCTTTTTTCTACAGGAAAAACAGTTAGCATGAAATATGTAATAAATTAAGCTACGTACAAAAAAAAGCTACCATGTTATTAAAAGTAACAAGTCCCTTCCTAAACGAAATAATATCCCACCTACGATATTTAATATTCAGGCGTTGAACAAAACACCTCAGTGCTAAATTCTTAGGAATACATTATTAAATTAATTGTTTGGTTTATTGTTTTGAGCCTAAGAGTTCCTTAATTCCTTTTAAACGAAGTTTAAAATGTTGATGTTGAGCTACCTGAGTAGAGTACAAAAGCATACAATTTCAATACAAGGAGACTAATTCCAAATAATCTACTTTTTTTAGACAAATGCACTAGAAAATCAATTGAAAACGCTTCAAATGCAAAAACACAACATACAACAATTGTAAATGGACGAGCAACCTACACCGCTATAAGACTTCACTGATGAACTTATGAAACCTGAAGTGAGGTACTATAAATGCCTGGACATTTCGGGAACCACTTGAATGCTAACAATCAACCTTAACAGCCCCTTTCAGAACACTTGACGTTGTCTCCATAACCAACTCGAGATAATTTCTGCCTCCTGACCCTGAGGGCAACTTGGTCGCAGCCAAAGTGTTTAATCATATTTTCTACTGACTTATGTAAATGAGAATTAATTTAAATTTTTTATTTATTCTTCGATTCAAAGGCGTTTCTACTTCGTCGCTTTTTCAGACGAAATTTGCCAACAATTTCTCTTCCTCGTCCTCAAAGAACTGTCATGCAACAATCAAACAAATTCTTCTGTGGATTTTTGGAAAGTTAAATATCGTCCTACTTAAGTGCTAGTATCTGTCCATACCTCTTGATCAACATAACAAATAATACCACCATCTGGACGCTGTGCAGTAGCAGGCAATTGACTGACAACTTCTTTTTTAAAAAATATCGATTTCTTTGATCACCTCAAATTCACTCAACCAACCTAACCCCTACTCAACATACAAAATCTAGTCTAACCTGTCTGAAAGAATTTTATTGGTGACCAGTATCATGTTCATTCCGTGTTTTTAAAGCGACCGCACTTTCTACCTTTCCTACTAATTACACTTAGCTAAGCAGTTCTAGATATGTTAGTGGCACTTTTCCTTTTTGACTTCCCCTCTCGCCAATCTTCCAATCGGGGTCCAATCCAGGTGCGCTGTAAACCGTGATCACCTGGGAACGAGAGACATTAAACACTTGGTCAGCCTCACTACAGTAACTGGATCTTCCTTAACACACCTCATGGTCAAGGACAGGATATCAAACGAACAAAACGGGTCTTGCAGGTTTAACTACATTTTGTCTTTGTGCTAATTTACTATTCCTCTGGCTACTAATGTCCCGCAACTGTCATGCAGAACCAGTACATGAAAAAAACCCTCTCATCTCCTAAGTCATCAAAAGGAAAAAAATATAAACAGTCTGAACCAAAATCTTAGGGGCAAACGTTGCTGGTAAGTTTTCGTATAGGTCAATTTTCCCATTGCTCTTTTTAACATCTAGTGAGGTGAAGTAGGAAGAAGTAAGTAACTTGAAAACATCTCTTTCCTTCCTTGATTTAAATACAGACATAAAGAGACAAGTGAGATGGACTAATGCCTGCCACGTGTTACTGTTGGAATTTCTGAGGACTGGAAGACAACTGAAATTCCATTGGCAGAACAAATGAATTCAAATAAAAGAGGGTCACATGTAGAAAGAAGAGTAGAAAAGAAAACTATTTGAATACACTGATGTGGTTCCTAAGCTAAAGGAGACATAGCTTTTAACCCTCTTTCACTCTCCTCAAATGAATGGATCTGAATAAGTGACAGATTAAAGAACGAGTGTGGTAATTATTTACTACTCTTTCCTGAGATCTAAAAGCTGTGAAAAGCGTATGGCAAGTACGGAAGTTGAAATAAGGAAAATGAATGACAGATTCTGAATAGAAAGATCAGTACCAACAGTAAATCTGCCCCACCAAGAGTCTTTGATACCAGAACAATAGCATCAGTAGTGTTTATTCTTTTACAACCAAGAATGTCCAAAAGGAATCTCTTTGCAGTATTTCATACAGTTTCAGAGAAAAAGTTATGAAAAAGACATGTGTAGCTTTGCAATAAATGATCATTAAGAAATTGGGAGTGAAAGTGTTATGCTAAAGCCATATCACTGACCTCATCAGCAAGCAAGGAGAGCTCATTCTTGTCTGCTGCATCATAATCATACAATACTTTGGCCTTTTGGGTCAGGGATGGCCGAGGAACAGTGTTCAGGTCCAACCCACCAGAGGTGTCAGAAAAGGAAGGTGCAGAGGGAGGAACAAAAGATAAAGCTGCATCACCTGGAGGACTGAAAGAAATTTTCATATCAGGCTTTGTGTTTTCTTGCGAGATATATTAACTCTTTGTATCACCCTTTGCTTTTTCTGTTTCTTCATTTCTTTTTCTTTTGCACAGGGGGTAAAAGATTCTTCACCGATTTCTATCAATTCTCTACTTTCATTCAATTGACTTGATTTTCAACAGAACAGCAAGGTTGGATAACATTTTCCAAAAAAAATTTTTTAAACATAGCAATTGCAGAAAAGCTTACAAAGAAAGAGAACAAACGGTGTTGGTAATTGAGTGCTCACCAAACATCATGACAAATGACCAAACAAAACACAAGAACCTTTGGAATAACCTCAGCACCAAATAAAGAGATGTGCTGGACTATTTTTCTATCCACTTAAGGATTCACTGCCAAGCATTTTGAAACTCTTCACCACTAAGCCTGTTATGATGCAAACTATTTTCAGTAGAAATAGTCACACAAGTGTCCAGACCTTGTGAAAAGACTTTGTTTTAATGGCTTACCTCCATAAAAGCATTTTAATTCTAAAACATATTGTACCTTGCCAGTTGCTTCTGCAGCTCTGTCATGTATGCATGGCACTGTGCATAATACTGTGCCTGGGCCTCAACAAAATTCATCAGTGCCCTGTGATGGTTGGCCTAAAATATATCCAGAATTTCACATAAAAAATCTGCTACTATCTGTTATTTTGAGTGGCAGTTTCCAGTAAATGTTTTAAGGAAACCTCAGCTCTGTTCTTTTTCTACTCTGCCAATTATAATTTTGTGGTAATTCCATTGTAAAACTGCAAATAATAAAGCACAGAGGGAGTCCATCATCTAAAATTCTCAAAGTTTCTCATGTGATTCCTTCCTATATTTAACAGTTATTGAATCCATAGTGAATGAAAAATCTTGAAACTTGAATTCTGTTATACTGCTAGGTAGAAAAGAATTATGAGACAACTAGACAGATGTAACAAAGTTAGGTAAAGTATGAGTTCAACTAACCCCCTCCCTTGTACTTAACTGAGAATAATGGGGGGAAGTTTGCTATTTGGCAAAGTCATGGGCAGATACAAAACACAAATGCACCATTCAACAAAATTAATGAATCTAGCACAGTAATAAAGGTAATACTTACATGAGCTGTGCTGATTCCATCCAGCAGTAACTTTGTCACTTCATACTGTCTGTCAAACTCTCCTTGACATACTCTTAAATCTGCCTCTGCCTACAAAAAGGACTACTACATCAGTGAGGTTCTTTACTTGTCTGCCTCAAGTGGCTGACAGCTTCAGATTTCTCTCTCTTTCTCTTGTTGGACAAAACCACACAATTATGTACCTGTCCAGTACTATTGTAGCTTATGTACACTGTAGTTGGCTCTCTATAGTGTAGTAAGAGTTAAGAACACCAGAGACACAAAAGGAATGGGAAAGAAAAGGTTTGATTTTTATTCACACCCCAGTCAACTGTGCTACCTTCATCATTTTCATCAGTGGCCCCAAAAAAACTGACAGTCATGTTGTCTACTAATACTGCAACCTCAACTGGAAGCATGGAATTAAAACCTCAGTGTCATTAGCATGATCATTGATCCCATGGTCAATGCCATTTGCAGTATGAGAAACTTCAGAGCTACATGTATTTGTAAAATTATATTATAAGAATTAAACTGCTGTACAATCATCTGGCTAATTAATAAAATCAGCGTTTTAAATGGTAATACTTTTTCATGAAGATGCAATCCACATGGGTTCATAAAACAGAAGCCCCTGGTCATTCACTATTGAGTGTAGAATGACCTGGTCAAAGAAAAGTGTTTGTGTTCTGCTGGGTAAAGTTGGGTTCTATCACTCAAAGGAAAATATGATAGATTTTGCATAAACCAATCATGCAAATTCTGAAGATGTCACATCAAAGTCAAGAAGACCAATCATGCAGCAAGAGTATTAGGGAGATGACAAACTTCAAAAGCCTTTGGAGACAAATAGCCACCCAGTACTTGACAAGTGAGAGACTCACCTCATCCAACTCAGTGATTACAACCATATTCCGTGAAGAATACATCTAGAGTCAAGCAAGAGTCATGACGGACATAAAAGGAGGAAGGAGACAGAAGGAAAGAACTAGCTTGAGGATTTTCATTAGTACATTAACTTTAGCTTTAATTTACATTTACAAATTCAAGAAAAAAAATAAATACTTTAATTTGAAGTGTTTATAGCAGAAGGAAATTCATTAAATGTTAGAGGAGTCTAGCTAATGAGAAAAATATTTTTCATTCTTTTCCCAATCTTACACAAAAATTTTCATTTGAGGAATTAAAAATAGTTTTTAACCTTAAGTTAGGATGCATTATGATACACAAATCACTGCACAAACGATAAAATGTAAACTACAACCCTGATATATTCCAAAAATTGTGTAAATGTATTATTATACTAGAGAAAGATGTTTTTTTTTTAGTTAATCAAAGTTGTGTTTTAGGTTTGAAAGTTCATTTCAGTGAAAATGGACAAAATCTGGATTCACATTGTAATCAAGGTTTAAGTGTTTTCAGATAAAATTTTTCAAGACTCCCTATTGGGTGACTTTAATAATCTACTGTGTAAATCAATGATTCATTACTCCAATGGCGAGAATGGACAAGCCTGAATGATAAGTAGCACTGTTAGTGTCAATTGTTATATCATGAGTAATCACATATCATTTTGTTAGCCATAGACTAGTGATAAGTGATTCCTTTAATCATTGCAAGTAACAAGAAAATCAACACCTACTAAATCTAACTTTAAAGTGACAGTGATATTGTATACTGTGGTGCTTGACGGGGCACCTACTTTGAATCAATATTACTGATAACTCAAACAGCTGGTTTGAAAGAGTCAACTGACTTCTATTAATTTACCTTTTAATATACAAGTGCACAAATAGCAATGAGAGATATTAGATTTGAAATATAAGTGCATTTAGTACATACATTTACAGCTTAATATGGAATGAAAATTAGCAGCAATATGACAGAAAAAGTAATATAGCCTCAAATGTCTCAAATAAAATTAACAGAAATTATTAGGAGTAAAAATGTGGTGAGTTATATGTCAGATTGCAGAAAAATTCTGACACTTGCAGTGTACACATTACTTCCAAGAAGTGGAGTGATAGATAAGCTTCAAGTGCATGAATAACGTGACCAAAAGAATGAATACACATGTCACCTTTTCCGCTTTATCATCAGGAAGAAAGAGACCTTTAGTCAAGCATTTGAATGTGACCTGTTCAGACAAGAACTCAAGACATTATGGACAGCAATGATTGTTACTCTTTTGGTGATTGAAGAAGAAAATAAATTTGTCAGTATCATCATTGCATAGTGATGATTTACATGAAATACAAGAGAAATGTTTACAGTGAGATACATGTATACAAAAAATCCTACTACCTCCAGAATAAACTCACATGCACTGCGAGTTGAACTCACTTGTTGTATTTTCTCAGGACTCTGGGCCTTTTTCACTTTAGCTTTGCAAGCATCCAGGTCTAATCTCTTGGCAAGTAGGGTTCTTTTCTCTTTCTGCAAAGTGAGAAGAAGAAAGAAAGACTTTATTTATTGAGGATAGCACGTGATAGTGCACAAACACTAATAAACTTGTGGTCCTCCTAATTACAATAAATATATAAATACAATAGAATCATTAATAGAATGAAATATAAATAGAAAATTAGCTAAAACAAGTAAGAATATATAAAACTACTATCAATAAAATTTACGGATTAAAAAAGTTAACATAAAAAAATGGCACCCTTAATTTTGTATGAGCCAAAACAAAATCAAAAGGTGAATGTATAAGAATTAATTCTGTCCTTGGTGATAAGGGTAACATAAAACAAAAAGGTGAATGTATAAGAATTAATTCTTTCCTTGGTGATAAGGGTAACATAAAACAAAAAGGTGAATGTATAAGAATTAATTCTGTCCTTGGTGATAAGGGTAACATAAAACAAAACTTAGAGCTATTTAGAGAAAAACTTTAGAACATGTAACTGAAGAGAATCAATAATAAAATTATGTCAGGAACCATAAAATACAATGTATTTGTAGACATATACACGCACCATCTTGTAATTTGAATCTCAAAGTAGAGCACTTTCTCAACAGTTTTGGTGTGTTTTATTAAAGCTACATGTACACAACGCTCAGCAGAGCAGATCCAACAAAACAATTATCGTCCATGTGGCTTATTGGTTAAAATCTAATGCACTTCCTTACTGCAATTGTCTTCATGTCCCCTTCCAAAAATGTCTTCAGCTGATGAAGAAAATTGGACATGGACTTGGTTTTTAAATCGCGCTCTGCCTGGCCAAGCTTTTTTTCTGTTGCTCCACATTTTACCAATGCACTACCTAACATGATAGAATCATAAAATCTTGTGAGCTTCTTTCATTTACATGTATGATTTAAGTTGAACTCTCATCACTCTTCTGTTTAGAGTGTTTCTAAAGCTGATGTTTCAAGGGATAGCCCTTCAATATAGAGATGTTTCTTTGTCCAAAATATGGCACTGATCTCAAATTTGTGGTTGTTTGTTTGTTTGCTTTTTTTTTTTTTTTTTAAGTAAAACACCAAAGGCCATGTAACGTACCATAGCTAGTTCCAGGACCAAAGTCGTTTCCAGCCTCAATCATAGACTGGCCTAATGCTTCACTCTCTGTCAGACGAGGAGGTTTAGGTTTGTCCAACTTTTGATACACAAACTCTTCAGCTCTGAAACCTTCAAAGTACATTTATTTCAGAAAAAGAGTTACACCCATTCAAGAACTGGTGCATAATGTTTAAGTTTACAAAATGGTTTGCTTTATTACTGCTAAGTTTAAAACCAAGAAACTACAATGTGAACTAGGGAAATGCATTATAATATCTACACATTCCTACAAGAGAAATGTTGAGTCAGCAGTGCTTACTAACAAGAGTCACAACTTAGAAGAATACTGTAAATAATTCTTGTATTTGTAATGGACTGTTTTAGAAGAGGGGGATAAGTTTCTTAAGAAACTATGGTGATGAATCAATGGGGGTATTACAGCATAATTTGGTTTTATAAACTGAGTTTATAATGTAAATTGGCCACAGTAAAGACTTTTAAAGCATTTTCTAGCATTTAGGCCCTTTGTCAGAGTGATACACACTCAAAACTCTTTACAGTGGTCAAGTTACTTAATCAACTCAGTTGACAAAACCAAATGTTCAGGAAGAGCCATGGTTGTCTAGGGCATGCAAATAATATCACTCTGTGAATGACATTCATCCAGAGAAAATTTTGTTCATTTTTTCAAGTGGTCTTTGTCTCTGGGGAAACACATTAAGCAACTGAAAGGAGAAACAGACACATCACCAGACTCAACTTTTTTTACTTTCCATAGTTTTCTTAAGATTTGATTGTTGAACCAAGAAAAACAAGTACTTCAATGCAATATTTTTTAAATGCAGTTTAGGTCTTCATGTGTAAAAGGGAAAATCCAATAATTGTTTTTCAGAAGCAAAATGTAATACTGTTTGGCTAACAACTGCTTTGACAACTGTATTCAGTTATTCTTAAAAACAGCAAAAGATAATAAAAATAGATCTAGAAAAAGTGTCTATATTGCACAACATAGGATTCTGTTTGACAAATAAAGCTGAATAAACCACAATGCGCCTATACCCGAAATAACGTTTGTAAGCAAAGCACGATAGACAGAATTGGCTGTATATATCTATCGTCTTGTCCTACTTTCACTTTCTTCAAGTCGGAAAAAAAGCGACTTAATGCACTTGGAGAAAAAAATTTCAAAGGAAGCGCTGGCACTTAAGTTTCTTTCCGTGATTTAAATCAAACATTAAATACCTGTATACATACATTAGCGTATTAGCATAACTCTAGCAGTTTCTAAGTTAATGAAATTTACTTTAAAAATGCGTTTTACGAATCTCTCAAAAGTTAAGGCACTAGCAACTTAAATTATATTACTAATATAAACGGAAGTCACTAAAAGCTGGGAAGTCCACCGAAATTTAGAGACAACGGTATCAATAAGTCTAATAGCCTTTCCCACATGAAGATTTCATGCCATAAATATATTCATCATATGTCAGCAATTTCTACTACGAATATAAAGTGTGCAAATTAGAGGAGGATTTCCTGGGAAAATAGACGATTTCGAAGAGATTTGAAATCCAGCCCATCTTGATTCTTAATTTGTACATTAAAAACGCGGTCAGGAAATAAATTAGGGGACAAACCTGGGTTAGGTTGAAGCAGTGCCTCCGTTTGCCGCAGTAAGCGTTCTGTCCAATATTTAGTACGATCTGCTTTCTCAACTAGGGACTCAAATCGGGCATCAAATATTGTCTTCTCCGACGTGCCAAGTTGTTCCTCTGTGTACTAAAGAACGAAAGATTTAGTGAAAAAACTGACTTTACAGTGATAGCCTTTAGGGTATGAAGTTTCGAACCTGCTTTGCTCTCGAGAAGAAGGTTGCCGTTTGGGCACCAAATTTTTTCATTGAATCTGCCATGTTGCTGACGTTTACTGAGCGAAAGTAATCCATATTGAAATCTGTGCGCAATGAAGGCGTGAATCGCACCACTTCTGCGCATCACAAACGCCTTCTCTCGACACCAGACCTCTTCCAAAATAATATTTTTATTATTTTTCAACCTTTTTCTCCTGAAAGATTATTATTTGAAATTTTCTCGAGAAAAACCTTCATCAACGAGAAAAGAACAGTATTCTTTTTGTAGTTCCTTCCTAAGAATTCATTACCAGTTCTAGTATCAATCGCCTAACGTATCATGTGCCGGTTCGCTAAAGTGTACCTTGTGACCTAAGGGAAGTTTTTTCGCATCGGCCTGTTTTTCAAAAGCTCAGAGTCTAAATGAAGAACGTTTTTTTTCTTACTTTTTGCGTGAAGTTAAAAGTGCAAAACACACCTACCCCTAAAAGAGCGCAAGTACTGGAAGAAATCTGGAGAACAAAAACGAAAGCGAGGCTAGTAGTTTTCAAAGGCTCCCGACCAATCAGCTTCCACGTTTGGCGTCTGGGCTGTGAAGCAACGGCTTGGCTTTGTGGAGAGTTTGTAGTATGTTGTTTTGATCTTTAATCCACCTCTTCTCTAAGACATTAAGCCTTAAGGTCTTCTAATGACGATGTTTGCCTTAAATTTTTCGTGAAAAGGTATGTGTTCTTTGAGTTATCTCTTTCGTCTTGTTACCACCTAGACGAAGTCCTAGTTTCGGCGCCAAATTCGAGTGTCACGACACGGCAGCGATATCTAGCGCCCACTCAGATAAAGGATGTTCATTTCAAGTTGAAGATTTTTCCGGTTTTACCGCGCTAATACGGTGTAGATGGCTCAAAAAGTTAAAAGATGCATTGGATTCCATCAGGATGTAGTATTATGATGCAGTAATTTCACTGTAATTACTAAGAGAATACCTTTGTAATTTGTACACTCAATGGGTTATGTGTTATTTACACGAGGGGATTCCACAACTTCTTATTGAAGTTGGATTGTGCGATTGTTGGACTCTAGACTTTTCAGTAATTTTCTGTACGTATGTGTCACTGTCATTGTATTAACTGATTTTATATTTATATTCTACCGATAACTTGCCGTGAGCTTTCTTTGTTAAACTCTTTGAGGTAATCCCTAAAGATAATTAATTGCCTAAAGAGGGGGGATCTGATTTTGTCGTTTATGTTGCTGGTTTATTTGTACGAGCTGCTTAGTGCCCAACTTGATGAATTCTGTCTTTCATTTTCTTTCTCTGTTTTCATTTTCTGGTAAAAAAAAAAATAGCACTTAATCATGCACACAATGTGTACACTTGCAATCATCAGCACAAATCGAATTGAACTTTTCCTCATATCTTGCACCGGTTCTTTTGAAAATTTCAATTTAATTTTGATTTGTTTAACTTCCACCCTCGAGTTTCATTTCATGGTAGTAACAGCGACAAAGCTCAGCTGTTTGAGCATTACCCCAAATTTGCAAGTGCACACGTTCAAATCCTGTTTTCTTAGTTTTTAAAGCTCCTTTTTGCAACTACTTGACATATAATGCACCACTGTCCAGGATCATTGCATTATCTCAACATTTTCATTGCAAAAGAGGAGCATTAAAAGTAAAGGATATGTCAAGACTAAAAATAGTGGTGCAATCCACTCTGGGAGTAATTTTCATTGCCTTATTTTTTATTTGATTATTGAGGATCAAGGGTTTATTAAGCAGAATAAATCTGGTTTGCCTAAGGATTATTCTTATATATTATACCAGATGATGACAGGAGATGGACGCAAGTCTCCTGTCCACGTCCATGTGGACAGAGAGACTCCCGTACATGTACACCTCAAGAAGAAGAAAAAAGGAAAACCTGGGGTCCCAACAGCAGTTGAGGTAAAGCGAGTCTTCATTCAATTGAGCCTTCTTGTGTGAATTTTCTTGTTTAAGTGTCCATCTCTTGAGAGTCACCACAATGGTGGAACAGAGCAATATGCAGTGTGCGGGGACTCATACAGTACATTTTAAAAGTTAAAGACAGAGAATGGTAAAAGAAGCAAAATCTGCCTTGATAATCAGAACAATGGCTCTGTCGTGGTCTAAATTTTTCAAATCAGTTTAGTCTTTGAACTAACTCTTTGATTATAGATCAAGGGGATAAATGTCTGTATTTGAGCACATGTGCACCTACCCCTCCCCTAACTTAATCTTATCCTTAACTTGTTATCAGTTGACTGTTGATGGGTAAGGAGAGGAGTAAGTGCACAGTTTCACTGAAATTGTCATTGTACTTATCTTGGTAAATGTGTATTAACCCTTTAACTCCCAGAACTGATTAGCATGTAACTTCTCCCTATAATATTCATACATTGTCCAACAAACAGGTAATGAGAATAACAAACTTATCAATTTGAAGTTGTTGTCTTGATCCAACACCAAATTCCTGTAACTAATTAACAAGGAAATGTGTACCAGCAAGAGGGGAGAATTAACAATCAGATCTTGGGAGTTAAAGGGTTAAAACTGCTTTTATTTTACTTTTTACTTTTTACTTTTACTTACCAAAATTTGCATAATTATTAGAATGTGAATGTAATTGTCAACCTTTCGTATTTATGTTTTAAAGTGAATGTTGCCTTTTAATTTTTTACTGAAGCCACCATGTCATTTGCAAGATTTACAGCATAAGTGTAATATGCAAGTGCAATTTTCCTACTCGGTGGCAGTCATCACTGCTGAAGCTTCTTATTTGTTAAGTTTGTTTGGTACTTAATTCTTTTAGCAAAGGCTGCGAACGAAAAGACAAAGTGGTTTGACAAGATCTACTGTAAGTAAAAACACTTTCTGATTCATGTTGTGGTCACAATTTTTCCTGGTTTTAAAATTTTCAAAGAAGTTTTACTGAAAGAAAGATGTTTTCCATCTTGTTATGACCTGCAGCAGACAGCGAGAAAAATTAGCAATTAAGTTTTCGGAGTGAAAGGGTTAACTCAGTTTGAGTTAACTTTGCTTTGCTTTGTATTTACTATCACAATTTGAAACAGGGTGACATAAATCTCACCTAAATGTAACTTGAAAAATGCTTTCCTTGAAAAAATTTGAAGCACAATGTATTGGAAGAAAGATGTTTAATTTAGGTCTAAAAAGACTCACTATGACTGGAATTACCACAAAGATAAATGGCAAACTCATTTATCACAATAACAGGTAAAAAAAAAATACTTGGTGTTTTCTTGACGAGGATTCAAACAAATGCAACTTTAAGATGATCCAGATACCATTAACCTGATTAGAATTTTTTCCATATATATCCCAGGGTCAGAGAAAAGCCATCAAATCATCTTCTCCACCTTTTGTGCCTCCTCCAGGGAAGACGTCAAAGAGAACATTTGCATGGGAGGTTGGGCATTACATGTAGAAACTACTTTTTAGCAATGCTTTGCGAGTGAGAGCTGATAAATAGAGCTAAAACATCAAGAAGTTTAATAATTCAAGCAGATATTCAATGGTGGCATGAGCCCTAAAGCAGATTACAATAGAGATATCAAATATTTTGAATGGAGATATTTTGAATAATTTGAAATAAGGAACCTTCAGTTTCATTTTGTAAGTTTGCCTTTGACACTTGTTCATTTAGGGTCCTTCACATCGCTTAGAAGTCAGCCCTCCCCATGGAGGTGGAACACTGAGAATGGAGGATCTTTCTACTTCTGAGGTATTTTCTTTTTTTCCCTTCCCCCTCTTTTCTTTTCCTCCTTTTCTCCTTTTCCTTCCAACCTTCATGCTTGCTGCATGTTTACCCATCCATCCAGTATTTGTGACTTTGTTCATTAGGTAGGCAAAAAATTTTACAACCCACCCCCCTTACTTTATCTCATGCCGTAGCTATCCGTGATTTGTAGTACCTTCTACTTACCTATCTGAAATAATGTACCCAGCCCCACCAGCAATCTTGCCAACCAACACCTCACACAAGGAAATACTGTCAGCACAGTTGTATGAATTTAAAAACTGAATTTATTGAAAAGTGCAGTCTTGAAAATATATGATAGAAAAGTGAAGAAAATATACATTGTTTGAGGAACAACTGAAACTTACTAGTGGAAAACATTATGTTGCAATCAAGTGATGATTTATTTTTAAAATAGGAAGATGAGGTACATGGAAAGATAAGATCGTACGAGAAAAAGATTGGCAGTTTGATGTCAGAAGTTGGAAGTCTGAAAACTGAGGTATTTCTTGCAGCAAAGGACATGTCCTGTACTTATTGTTAGTTGTAATTGGAATGAATCTCTGTTTCAATAATTTTTTTTCTGTTTTGTAGAGAGAAATGCAAAGAGCCAGACAAGCTGTAGAGAAGAAAGATGAACAACTTGATGCCTCCAGAAGAATTCTTGAAGCACAGGAAGATGAGCTCTTTGTAAGCTTGATCAAATTTTCTTTACACAACAAACAGCTGTATAAATATGTTTCCACACACCATTTCCCTGTTTTACTGATTTTAAAATTAAATGCACCTAATTTTTTTTCCAGGGTTATAAGCAAGAGCTAAAAGCGACTGTGAAGGAAAATGAAGCTCTGCGTCATTCAATAGAAAAATGGAAGGAAGATGCTAATGTGACAAGGTAAATGATCTGTACAGCAGTATGCCTCTTAAAAGTGATTGGTACACATGTATGTACCTAAGAGGTATTGTAGATCATTTAGACTGATTGTACTCGTTAAAGTAAAACTTTAGTCTTAAAAGTAATTTTTTTAACAGCTGAGTTGATAAAGTGAATTTTCCATTGCAAAGAGTTTCTAAAGCCGACGTTTTTGAGGGAGGGGAGTGTTAGCCCTTTGTCAGAGCTGGGAGAGGAATTGTAGGTTGTGTGTGGTCTATATACAAATAGAGTTCCAACAACTCAAATTTGTTATGCATTCCCAATGCTATGCAGGTCAGAAGTGGGAAAGTTAGCTGGAGAAAGAGCAGCTGTGTTGAAGAAACTAGTAGAAGTGGAAATGGATGGAAAAGCCGCTGGAGAACAGCTAATTAAACTTAGAGACACTATCAGGAAGCTGAAGGAGGTACATTAATTTTGTAAAATTTCATTTTAATTAGTAACTTACTTTTACTCTACAAAGCTATAGCATAATTTATGAGGGAGATCCTAGCCACAGGGTTGTATGAACCCATCACTTTTTTTTCATGAAAAGCGTTATTATTAACAAGTTATCAACCTAGTATTCCCCTCCCCCTGAATTCTGGTAACTGGCCCCCTCCCCCTCTACCCTTACCCTTTACTGAAAATTCCACCTAAACCGCCCAGTTTAAATAAGGAATGTGAAAGCTAAAAAGAGAATCTCCATGCAAAAGGGAAAAACAAAATAAGGGATGGAAGTCAAGTTATTTTACACTAATTGTTGTACTTTAGGATCGTTGATTGAGCTGGCTTTTAGATATTTCGATTGAACAATTTTCTAGGACAAACGAATGTCTGCTGCGGACACGACGTTACTGACCAGACAAAGAGAGATGTTGTTACAAAAGTTGGACGAGTTTGAAAGGACTAATAAAGCATTGCGGAGGCTGCTTAGAGAACAACAAGCCACAGAGGTATGCACTAAATGTTTTTTTCTTGTTACTACAAAATAGCTTTCCTTGTAATGTGAACACACGGGAGCATTTATAGCATTTGGTTAGCGACACTACTAGCGTTTTGATTTCGATACCAGGAGCGAAAGTCGCCTTCAAACTTAAGTTTGTAAGAGCAATCAGATTAAAGAAAAAAAGTTCAATACCAACCAAAAATTTACACTGTTTGATTTTCAGTTGCTTTTTGTACTTTGGTGTTTGAGGAAACTCGTCAATCGCTATTGCTAAATTTCGTAATCAACTTAATAGGCATCACCTTGAAGTAGGAACGAGTTTCTTCGTTGGATGAAAGAGAAAAGAAAATAAGAAGTCGGAAAATTGTTATCTTGAATAAACTTCAATCCTAAGAAATAAGAGTCAACGTCCCTGTTACTGGTCGTTTTTGTTCACTACTCGCAAAATACTTTTGTTCTTTGATAAAACTAGTGTTGTGTGTGTTTGATTTTCTGGCTGTTAAGGAAGAACACGATCACCTAAGAAAACAACAGGAAGTTTTGCTGAAGAGACTCACACAGTCCGACACAACGAACGAGGTAAGAAGGATGTTATGCATCTTTACTTTACATGACAAACTTTATTATTAGAGTAAACTTATCTTAATTTGTCCTCTCGTGGCGCTCGACCAAAGAAAGGAGATTTGCCATACAAAAATCTCAAAACGTTTCCCGATCTCTTAGAGAGATCAACTACGATTTTTCAATTACCATTTTTGTTTTCCAGTCGAGACTCAGTTACTGTGTTTAGATTTTAAAAATCTAGTCCATTTGTTGATTTCGTTCTGTTTTTTCCTAGCGTTTACAAGTCGAGTTAACAGAAAGAGACAGACAGATAGAAACTTTATTAGCCCAAGTTGAAGCCGATAAGGTTGGTGTTATTTGCGTTGCTTTCAATCTTGATTACCTTATGCAACCTTTTCCCCATACTTTGGTGTTTAATGACAACCTTTAAAAACTCTTTTTTCGAATTCTTCCAACTTAGGAAAAGGCTACACCGTCACTTGAGCTCCTTGAAAAATTTAGTAGCATATACCTCTTTTTCTCTGCTAACCATTTGCAATCCATGTCAATGTGCTTCATTCGCCACCATCGCTGTTACCTTTTTAGTTTATCCGTACTTCCTCTGTTTGTTTACCCTGAGAAAATAATTATGATGTTATAGAATTCCTTGCAATTAATGACAATTTTCAAGAACCTCCAAAGACAGCTCCTTGAAAATAGTCAATTCGGTTTCGTGTGGTTCTTAGACGTACTAACTACTCTGTGATTTCAGGACCAAGCGGTCGCATTTGAAGAATTAAAAAAGACCATGGAAACAACGCGGGCTCATCTTCAAAACCAGTTGCGCTCCAAGGAGATGGAGTGTGGTCGACTGTCAGTGCAGATAAGAGTAAGGAATTGTAATTCTGTAATTCTAGATATTTCTCTTAATTCAAGAGGTGGATTTTTTGGTCCCGAGTATAACTGAAATGAACCCACTAGACTAAAAGATTCATGGTAGTTATAGTTATTCCTAGGTAAAGGTGAGGAATTTTGAGAAAAGTCATGTAAATAACGTTTTCCTTGACTCTAGAGCCTTGAGGATCAGTATGAACAAGGACGAATCGAATTAGAACACATGCAAGGATTGATCGCCGCGCACAGGGTATGGCGTTCGTAATTTACGATCTCTTGCAATGTTTTCAAATGAAAGGAATTTTAAAGTTTGCTTTCTTTGTTTGTTTGTTTTTGTTATAAAAGCACAAGGCTAAGGCTAATATAAAGCAAGGCTAATATAACGCAAATCGAGTGCATTTTCTACTCACGCTATTTCGATGAAGCACTATACTTTTTACTTGTCACTCGTTACCAAACTTTTAAGACTTCGTTCATCCTAAATGACCCTAACTGTTGGTCTTTTTTTTCAGGACAAGAATAGCAGAGAAAAAGAAGCTCTCAAAAAGGCGGCAAGGTAACATTTTATAAATATAGTTGACCTGCAGAAAAATATTTTCCAAAAGGCATTGGTAAGTAATGCGAAGGCCGAATCTTTCTATTAGGCAAAGGAAGGAAATCTTGAATCTCAAAAGCTGGTTCAGACCTGGCTGACTTTTTGCCCAACCTTACCAACTTTTCTTTTTCTGTTTTCGGTAGACCAATTCAAATCGTTTCCTTAATTTTTGCGCTAAAAATAGGCGCCAAGGCCAGAATGGAAAGTAGCATCTCAGTCTTGCCCGAATTCATCATCGCCTCTGATGGACGGGGCTCCGAACCTCCCACACCCTAGCCCATGAATCCGTCAATGAGATGGTAAATGTTTTGTTAATGAGCTTAAGCGTTTTTAAATGTTTTAGAATACAAAAAGATCGCGTCAGTGAGAGGGACAAGGATTTGGAAGTCCTACAGGAAAAGCTTGCCGAAAAAGTGAGTGAAGTGAACCGTAATGAAATATGCGCAGCGCAACTGCTGAAAAAACATTGCAAATATATATTGATATTAAGTAATCCCTATGATTAATTATCAATTTTTAATTTCTATCGTTATCATAAGTATAAGTATAATCATCGCGAGATTAATTTGTTTCTAATTTTTCATTTGTGCAGGATCTCGTGCTGAGTGAAACAAAGAGAGCTGAAGCAAGTTTAAAAGAGGAAAAAAGCGACGCCGAGATTGAAATAAAAACTCTAAAAAAGTAAGAGTAGTTTCTCCTTTTCCTTTCATGTGGAGTATTGAATTATTTCAAACGACTTACTTATGAAACTGTTGGATACATCCGAATGATCCATACTGAGATTGATGCTTTTCTCCGCTTTGTCTGTTTTTGACGGAAAAGGAAAGTTAATAACATAATAGTGTTTCTGTCACTGTCCTTCATCGCTATTGTTTCTAATTATTTTTTTCAGTCGGTTGAAAGAGATGCACGAGTTAGTGGATACCACAGAAAAGGCAGCCCAGGTGATTAATTTACTTTAACAGCCTCGCTCGCTGGTTTGAAGTACCCACATTGGTTATATACCCCGTCCCCCTCGTGCCGAAGCGCTAATCATTAAGGCCTGCTCTCAGGCTACTAGAGAGTAAGTAGGAAAATATTTATGTTGTCAGTCTTGGTATCCATTGCAGAGTAACAGCGACAGTCTCACCACTAAACTGAGCACTAGAACTCAGGAAGTGAACACCCTTAGATTGGAGAACGAACAACTCAAGGTAGAATCTCTATTTTTCTTTACACCGCTCTTTAGCTTGAAAACCTGCACCTCTCTCTCAACTAGTTAAAAAATTGTATAATCTCTTGTCGAGTTTTCCCGTTCCCTAGGCTGGTTTCTTGTATTTAATTTTCACTCTTATTGGTTCTTTTTGGTATTTTTATTTTGTTCTATTCGGTCGGCGATTGTGATCACTTTCGTTTTAGTGAGAATTAATCAAATTACACTTGGAGATCACAGCACACAGCATGTCCTGTAAAACCTGAATAATTTTGATTTTGATGACGATCAGGCGTGAATGCATGGATTGATTAGTTGAATGAGAGTCCTTAGTTAATAAATTGTTTCATGTATTCATGCATCATCAGTATCTGTGTTTACTTCAATAGAAAACAGTTCTTTGGTAATCAATAACCTCCGTAGTTTATTTTGACTGGGTAAGAGTAACAACACAAGTTTGTTTCGTTTTGTTTCAGGCCGACATCGCTGCATTAGAGGAACGCCTCCACGAGGAAGAACAAAGGGCCGCTAACAAGGTAAGAATAATCAGAACGGTGGAAAATTTGAGAATTGGCCGGCGAAAGCCCGAGGAAACACAGGCATGGGCCTTGAGCGCGAAAAGCGATAAAGTTTTGCTCGTTCCAGGCTACAGGTCGCTGGAAGTGGGAGGAAGAAACGGTTATTGTGGTCTTCAAGGAAACCGCTGTCGCTCGTTTCCGCTGACCATAGCCCTGGCAAAAGCTAGAAAAAGTCAGATTGGTTTAACTCTTTCGTGTGTTTGGTTGAGAAAGTAGCGCGACTTTTCAAAGCCAATTTGGGGAGCGTACTGAAGTAAAATCACATTACACCCAAGGCATACTTTGATTCGACACTTCACTGAAATTGTTCTTTACCAATGAAGGAAGTATATGACCAAGTTTAAAGAAGGCATTGAAAATAGTGAAGCAGCTCTGTAGCTGAATTAGCATATCACCCAACAAAGTCTCCATGAACCAGAACTTAAGCACAAGGAGAGCATTGGTCCTGAAAGTTCTCTGCAAGGATCCTCACATCACAGCTAGGCAAAATGTAACCACTAACACTGGTTCAGTAGATTGAGAGAGTAGCCATGTTAGGAACATACTGTAGTTAGAATGAGATAGTTGTATTTTAGGTCAATGAAGCAGAATCAACGATAAAGCAGCACAAGAGAAAAATGGAGGAATGCAAAATAAAGGTATTTTCAGGTGCTCTTGTTGTTTACAGTTTTTCAACTGTTGATTGTAGCGGCTTAGTTCTTCAACACTACTTATGAGCCCTGTCGTCTTAATTGGGTAAATGATGCATTTTGTGTATGTGCTTTTTTTGGTGATTTAAGAAAATTCTTGCTCCGGATTATCATTTCCTCTGATGGAATCTGTTGCTCTGTGTCGCACAAGTGCAGCACGTAGTCTAAGGCACAGCAACGAAATCACTTATCAACTTGAAGTTGGTAGGGGTGTTAAACCGCGTAGAAAATATCTTTAAAACGTTAGTCCCTCAGCGGAGGCAATTGGGGGATTGGCAAACGGCAAAAAATGAACTTCTTGTGGTCCGATTTCACACGATTTGGCACTTTAGCTGAGCATTTTTTGGCATTTACATCAAACAAGGGATTTATTCAATTTAGTTCCCGATAGATTAGAGGAATTTGAATAAAACCAGAGACCACTTTTGCCGTTTACCGTACTAGGGAGTAGGAGAACACAATTCTTTCTGATAGCAGGTAGCCCTTGTGTTATAGTTGTTTTAACATCTTGCCATTAACCGTTCCGGCTCATCAGGTGAATACGTCAAAAAAAGAACTTGATCATCTTCATGGTAGTGTCAGTGAGTACCAGACAAAGATAGATCAGTTAAAAAGCCAGGTAGGGTCATAGCTAGAGCTCATTAGCCCAGATAAATTGGTAGTAGAGTTTAGAAAGGCACCGCGCGTGACCAGGAGTCACGCCAGGAAACGCGAAAATTCCTCGTGCGTTTTCGCCTCGATACGCGCCTCCTGAGCGGTAAAAACCCTCATGCCATACTTCTCACCTCAGTAGAGGATATTATTTGTGACTCTTTGTCTGCTCGTTTGCGCAGTTTATCGTGAAATGTCCCCCTTTAGCATGTGTAGGGTAAAGAAATAGTGAGATAGCCGGCAATAGTTTCGTGGAAGTTCACGTGACATTTTAGGGCTAAAGAAAGAGAAAAAACACATTTTTTGCAAGACAACGACGGAACATTAATTATGTTTCATCCAGATGAATGATATTTTCTTCTCGCCATTGCGGATAAAACAAAAGGTTTTACTAGATTAAAGCACCTCATTAAAAAAATATGTTAATTGTACTTTCTGTTTCACTCACAATTTTTTTTCTTCACGATAAATTCCTTTTTGTGTTTAACAACAGCACAAAGCTAACAAAAGCGAGATAAGAAAACTCCAGGCCTTGACTGCAGAATATGAGAGCATGCTGGGCGAGTACAAGAATCAGGTAGATAGGGAATGATAAGGAATCGCAGGTTAAGTTTGTATGAAAATAGTATTGAACAGCGCGTATAACAGCCGAAACAGGGTACTGTGCTAGGAATGTATCTAGGAATGTAGATGGCTACCAGTAAGTTGTCAGGAAAACTTTACTATACTTCCACTGGCTTCAGGTTACGGATATGGAGTCAAATTCCGACAGTCAAAGAGCAGGAGGCAGTTAAGGCAAAACTATTAATGATGACATATCTATGTCAGGTAGTGACTGCGCAGATCAACCAGGGAACTTACACAGATTTTATTCGCTTTCCTGATAGACAGTTACTTACGAAGCAGAAATAAATGATTTAAAAGCCAGCTTCAAACAGACCAGTTTTCTGTTGGACGATCACCGAGCCAGGGTAGGACAAGCAGTGACACAGTAGTCGAAATTTAGTCTACGTTAATCTATGTTTTCTGAGTCTATCTCTAAGTACTGAGCTTTAATTAGATTGAGCCAATTGCCTTGAAAATGTTTGCGGTAAACGAAGGAGTATCTACTTAAAACTCAGGACACTTTTCATTTCCTACGCCATTACGGACAAAACAGAATCAGCTGGTTCACCATCAAACACTGATCTTACACTGAATTCTTTTCCTGAGTTTATATGCATTGAATGAATTGCACTAAGGAGAATTTTGATGCTTATGAAGATTATGCTATCCTAATACAGTGTACCTCTGACTTGAATGAAATAAATCAACTGAGAACAGTCATTAAAGAATATGAAGAGCTTGTTGGGGAGTACAAAGTGCAGGTAGAGTAGAAAGGAAGATAGTAAATAGCTTCCTAAAGATAGTTTTAAGATAGAAAACGCTGTCAGTGTTTCAGCAGTGAGAGTAGATAAGAGTGTCCAGCCACTTCTCCTTTTCTTTTGTAATCTTTTTCTCTCTAAACCAAATGACATGTCAGGCTTTGACTTTCTTCTGCGATCCACATCGGTTTGCTACAAGAGCTGTGACTACCGTTCAGTTGGTTCCTTTCATCTCTGGACAAACGGTTTCCTCTCTGGATCGCAAAAGGAACTTGTTGGATCTTCACGGATTGAGTGATTTTCTTCGTTCGATACTCGTGACGATTCATTTTTTAGGATATCTTTTTTTGTCCCCGATGTGCTTGCCTGAATGTTTTATAAACTAAGTTTTAGTGTATAGAATGAGGTGTTTCTGAAATGAAATGTTATACTTGAAAAATAAAATGAGGAAAATCAGCAGCCATCTTGTTTGAGTCACCTCAATCAATCTCGTCTCAAAATCTCCTGCGGCTACAGAGCTCATATATAATCTGGGTACGAGTTTAACCAGCATAATCTGCCTTAATCCGTAACTAAAATCAAATTTCCTTTTCTCTTTTAACCTTTCATTAACAGATTGACAAATATCGGAGAGAAGCCGAAGACTCGAAGAACAGATTGTATGAATACGAGGCTGAAGCACAGAAAATGCATCAGGAGAGTGCGCTGGAAAATGAGAAGGTAATACAAATAAGACCGCTGTACAAGTCAGTGACGTAGAACCTTCCCCAAATTCTTAACAACGTCCAATCAGAACACAGGAACACAGAAAATTTATAATATAGCGGGAAACCAACGAGAAAGAAAAGCGAAAACATGGTAACAACTTTAAGCGCGGGAAAATGTAATTGAACTAATAGTGATTGGTTTAAATTTTGGATCCTAATGGTTTTTAGGCTAGCGCGGGTTTCCTTAACAACTCATTGACCGTGGTTAAGCAAAAGCGATGCAATCCCGAATTATTTCCAACAGTCAACTGAAGATTAAGATAAGTCTGAATCTAAGCCCCCCTAGCGGAATTTATCTCAATAGTTTTGTTTTACTTTGAAAAATGAAGAATCTTATCTAAAGTCAACCTGGCAGGGCTGGAGTCCGTACCGCTCGGTCTTGAGTCCGGCATGATCTGTAGTCCTTTAGAACAAGTTTTTGAGCTGATCTAGACAGGTGAAGGAAGATGAAACGATTTAACACGTTTATCTTTTCTTTTATGAAGGTTAAAATTAAAATGCAGAAGAGGCTTTCTGAGCTGGAACCACTCGCGGACCTACTTAAGGTAACAACTGTGAACAATTGAGAGATGATTTTTCTCTCCAGGAGATATAATTTGTTCCAGTTTTAAACTGATAACCAACTTTATCCGTAGTCCTCAGACGCCCGTTTGCAGGATTCTCAAGAGAGGATTTTGGCTTACGAAAGGAGATCGAACGAACACGCAAAACTCATATCTGAACTGACACAGAAGGTGAGAAGAACGAGGATGTGCTTAGCAGCCTTAGTGGCCTTCAGGTGTGCGATCCTGTACGGTCAGCGCTCGGCTTGTATTGTTGCCTCAGTCTTGACTTTTTCCCTCTTTTTTTTAATAAGAGTTTTCGCAAAATATGCCTGTGGTGTAAATAAAATGTTGAATGGGTTATGAAGTCATATTTTCGAAATGAGAAATATTTTAAATGACCTTAAAATCTTATATATTAATCCATTTCTCAAACTGGTGAGTAGATGTCGTCTTAACAGTCAGGGCTGTTTACTTTAACTGAAAAATATGCTCGCCATGAAAAAAACGCTCTCCATGAAAAGGGTTTCTGTATCGCAGTATTTTACATAATGCTATTATTTCCTTTTTAAAGGTGGAAACGCAAACAGATCAATTAGAACATCTGCGCGAGAAATTGAGGATGGCGCAGGATGAGACAAGAAGCATGCAAGCCAAGCACGAAGTCTTAGAAAGGTTTGTGGAGACTCGACCATAGCCTGTGAAATAGCAGAGTTGTTGTCTCACAACGAATGCAAGAAAATTAAACATCTTGTCTTGTTTGTCAGCTCGTTGTATGATGATTGATTAAAACAACAGTATTTGATCCGTCTTGGGTGAAAACGATTGATCTTTTTCTATAGGAAATTAGCCGATTCTGATCAACAAAACAGAGAACTTATCGGAGTCATCAGCAAAAAAGAGGAATCTTTGTATCAGTCACAGGTTGGTGCCACCTTTCGAATCATTGTCTTGTTCATCTCGGAGATGAACTAGACAATGATTCGACAAATACAGGTCGCTTGCTTAAAGTCCTCAACTGATTATTTTACATACTAACGTATCTACCAAAGACCACATAAAGTTTTAAGTCTCGCGTGTAATTCCTGATATTTCACCTTAGAGATTGTCATGCCCTCTCAGAGATTTTCTCGGTATTCAGATTTAAAATTTACAATAGGATACATCATCCCCTACAGCTGGCGAGATTAACGACTCGGTGAGAACGCGAGTAACACGCGTGATAAGATTCCACTTGGACATGCTGTCTGACCTTTTCGGTCATGTCTTCTCACTCACACGTGGCGGTATGAATTACCGGTGAAACCGAGCCTCTACTACCCTCACTGTATTACAACTGGGATCACCAAAAAATTACAACATAACGTAAACAAAGAAGTGGGTAATGTAGTGGGCTTTCCGAAATGACGCGCTAGAGGCAGTTATCTCCATCGCTTACGCACGTGAGGTGTGTGAAGTGCTGTCAGTACAGTAATTGTCTGTTTGTGTGGTTTTATCTGAAAGCAAAGACAAGAGGACCTCCGAGCGGAAAATATTCGACTAAACCAGCAACTGGAGTCGTCTGTTCTAGACGCCAGAAGACAGGTGGATAGTCAAAAGGAGAAGGCTCTTGTCAAGGTTGGTTGGGTGGGGACCTTGTAGACAATAAAAATCCAATTCCTCTGATTCCAACACTCGAAACAATTGAAGAGATTCTAAACCCAGTTCAAAAGTTGCATAATGGCCTCACCAGATTTCAATTTCTAAATGAAGTTTCATTATTTTAATTTTGACAGGAGCGTGCTGCGCATGCACGTATCTCAGATTTGGAAGCTCAGCTGAGCCGAGCGACCGTGTCCATGGCAGAGCTTAAGAGAAGTAAAGATGAGGTATTTAAGCACTATTTTTAATGTTTCCATGTGTATTCAAGGAGAATACGTACTAATCCTATTTTCTGCAGAAACTCCAACAGCAACAAAAAAATTGATTTGTACTTTGACTTGCACTTTAGAACCATTCACGCGTGCGCGTGCGTGACGCGAAATAGTCTTCCGATATCCAGCTTACTAGACTAGTTTGCACGTTCTCTTATATCATAGCTAACCCACTGTTTTTTGTTTGTTTGTTTGTTGTAAATTCAGACTGAGAGGCGTTACAACTCCAAACTGTTTGACATGAGGGACCGGCTTGAACAAGCCAACAGCACAACACGGAGTATGCAGAATTACGTCTCCTTCCTAAAATCATCATACTCTAATGTATTTGATGAACTTGAATCGCCAAGATGACCTACATATCGTTAGCTACCTTAAAATGTTTCCTTAGTAAGACTTACTTTTAATCAAAAATAATTTTTTTAAACGTCAAAACACACCTAACGCTTTTTACTCGCCTTCCTAAAATTCGTTTTGTTATCTGTATATATTGCTGATTACGCCTGGAAAACATCTAAACTAACTTTTTGTCTCTAAATTCAGCATTTTAACTTGGTCATTTCTATTTACATTTTAGTAAATATTTATTATGACTTTTATACACACCCAAACATCCGCTATATAAGAACGGATGTAAACATTTTATATTGTTATGCATTTGTATAAAAGTTGTCTCGTCGTGAAAGGTCTAGGGCAAGAAATATGTATCTTTTATTTTGATCCATTTTTGTTATTCAAACAAGCCTATGTTTTAAATATTCTTCTTGTCGATATTAAAGGGGGTTTTTATTACTGAATGTTCCTACACTTCATGTCCCATATGAAAGACACAATACTGACAACCCTTGCGTTTACATTACGCCGGATTTTTTTAGAAACGTAGCGTTATTTCAATGGTTATGCCTACGTACTGTACACGCTAATTCGAATGAACTCTCCCCTGAAACAAGACTTTTCGATAACGCTTTTCAAAGTGAATGAATTTAAAACGCGGGCTTTAGACATAACAAAGTCGTGGAAAATAAAACTTTTCGAAAAAGCTGACGCACCTGCTATCTTGTCTTTTTTTATTTTTTTTCGGCGTAATGCACACGCTTCAGGGTACATTTAAGCGTTCCTATCACCAGTAATCGTAGTGTGAACACACAGTGTGAACGGGGTCGTGGGAATCGCTTTCCTCCTTAAAAATATAAACCCAAGTACCTGACAACTGGAAAAATGGTAGTCACGACTGTAAAAACGTTAATTAGGGACTGTAGTTTTCATATGGAACATGCAGATAGAAAAGGAATAAAATGGGTATAACTGACCTACGGCTCATAGGCTTCTTGAAAAGGGCAAATACATCAAAGGAAAAACGTTTTTGATGGTGGTGTTTGTGTTTTTTGGAAGTTTTATGTGGATGTCTCCTGATTAGAGACCAAGGAGATCTGTTGAGATGTATCAATGAAAAATTTTGAAGTATTTCTTTAGTTTTCATCCGCCAGATTTTCGCAGTTCTTTAAGCCGTCCAGCTCAGCGACAAGCCCTTGCGGCCGTGTAGGCGCCGTTTTCTCAGGTCCGGTCTTCGAACCTCCTGAAAAGGCTGGGAAGGAGGGGAAGAACGAGTGCAGGCTCATTTTCCCGAACAGCATGCGCAGCTAGTAATCTACCCTGTAACAGAGACGAAAATAAGTTCAACTTGAAGACGTGTTAACCTTAAAAGAACTCCTGTGTGGGATACAGACGCTGCGATAACGAAAGGTTTGGCCTATTTCACACCCAGTTAGTGAAAACGAACGAGAGAGCGTGAACAAGAAACGGTGGACTGGTGCTACCGCGGTTTTTCTTGCGCTCCCATAGTCTCGTTTCCTCGGTGCACATAATTTCCGGTTCATGCAACTTCCGGTTCGAACTAATTTCTAATCCTTCCCTTAGACGGATAGCAGCTTACGGTCGTATCATGATCTGATATTTGGTTTGCGCCTGTATCACAAGATAATAAATACGTGATATCCAATGCATGTCACTCTGATATGCAGGTTGCTTTGGAGACACTGACGTGTGGTCATAACTCACTGATCACTACAACACAACCGCGCTTTTCACGTCAGCTAGCCTTCGCTCTTTTTACTGAGAAACAGTTCTGTAGGAAACCCCGAGTTAGGTCATCAGTGACTACACTTTCTACTCTGAATTCACAATTTAAAAATGAAACAGGACATAATGGTGAAATTTAAACAAATCTGTCGGTGGTACTTGTATGTTAATTTTTAGTGACCCGGTAAATGTTCAACCATTAATCTTAAGTAACGCGCGCTCTGTTTTGATCACACAATAGGGCTGCGTGTAAGCACTGATAGAATCTGCTCGTCGCGATGAAAATAATTTTGGATTTTCTAACTCGTCTGTGGATTACTGTCATGAATTATTTATTTCCCAAAAAGATAAAGGAGAGAAAACGAACGCTGTCGGTTGAGGAAACTATTATTTCAGAGCAAGCCGCTTTTCTGTGTCAGAAATACATCGAAGCAAGATTCACGCGATCAAATTTGTGCTACTACAACCCGAAGAGCCGGAAGAGAGACGGAGAGCCCACAATTGCATGTTCCGAGGATGTAGTCAACACATTGAACGAAATGGGCGCTTTGCTTGAGAAAAGCTACCCAAAACTCTATAACAACGTTTTGGATCAACTAAACTGGCGGATAAACCTTGCTATTCTCGTTTGTAACATGTTCAATCGCGTCTCCGAGCAAATTATAGCTTCTGGCGTGAACTGGGCTCGGATTATCGCTGTTTACGCTTTCGCCGGCGCACTAGCCTACGATTTAACACAGACAGGAGACACAAGATTCATCCGATGTCTGTCGAGGTGGATGGGTCATTTCTCCGCTAGACGTTTGAGTCCGTGGATCAGACAGAATGGAGGATGGGTAAGTTTGATTTGCTTTTAATTTTTTTTTCGCCTTCGTATCTGGTTGTTACCTTTTGTGTGAGGACTCCACGAGATATTGTTTGCTTCTCTTATGGTAGCATATCATCATTTGCATATATCCGTGTTTCAAGAATATCGAATGAAAATAACGAAGCGGCATCGTGTTGGTTTACATTTTCTGAAATCTGATATTTGACCCTTGATTTTAATCCTTTGAAATAATGTTAGTTAATGGGTTCCTCTCATCAAGGCATGTTACCACAGATGCAGTAGTCTACGCGTGTTAGCGTTACCCTTTTAAGCTGGTTATATCAACAGCGTGTCGTCAACATACTTTCAAATCCCATAATCACTTCATTTTGTTTGTGGAAGCTCGTCGCCAAGTGGTAATTAGTTTCGGTTGGATGGAAGCCAGAAGCTAGATGCCGACCCACGCTCGTCCCATCCACGATCGTCGTGTAACTTCGGTACCAGTCTTTCGGGATGTAGTTCTTTGATCAATATAGAAACGAACGAGGGCGATCGTCACTCATGGTTTTCCGACTACAAGTTATGAGCGGATTTCTGTAAAATTGAGAAACTTTGAGACTCCGACGACTTTAGTGGATGCGTGGGAAGAATAGTTGTGTCGAAAGATTAGCTGTGTGGGAAGAATAATTCATGTCATGTCTCCTAACATTGACCACTACCTCACAAGGCGTATATTTTTTTGTAAAATTTTACCCCGATTTTCTCTTTCATGCAAGGATAGAAAGGAGGAGGAATTCACCAAATTTAGTTTGTGACCAAGATCGTGCTGAGTATATAACAGGAAAACTCGAAAAGATTTTTACTGCGAGAGTTTTTCTTGGTAACAGCCGTAAGGGGCTTGGTGAGGGCCGGGAGTACCAAAGCAGAAGCCACCTACTAGAAACCGTTCACCAGTACACGAAAATCAGCTGAAAATAAGAACACCTACTCGCTCGCCATTCCCTCATCCCTCCTTCACGCTTTCCCCGCTTTTCCCCCCCTTCCCCCCCCCCCCCGCGTCAAAAGGTGTGCGTATAGTTTCACCGAGTATATACAGTTTGCTTGCCAACTCAATTTTATTCAGTTTTTGTTCTCTTAAATCAACAGAAAGGCCTTGTGACACATTTCAAGGAAGAGGAACAGTCAGTAATGGGCTCGTTAAGTAGATGGCTTTCAGGGAGTCAACCAGGAAAGGAGCAACCCTAGTCTGAAACAGTCTCTTCGAGAGGTTCATGACACGAATACAGTACGGGAAGGAGGACCAAAAAACTTAGTTCAGTTTTAGTGCAAGTCAGTGGCAACTTCAAAGTGAACCTCTAAATACATGGAGCGCGAATTTTCAAAGACGAGTGTCACTTGCACCAATTGAATGGCACGGTGATATCAATCAAGTTTTGAGGTCAGCGGTGGATATGAGTCGCCAGCACAGGGAACTTTACCAGTTTACGTGGTTAAGTAACGGAAACGCAAGTTATCAGATATTCCCATTTTGGCGTTTGTTCCCGACTTGAGATTCTCCTGCCAAGGGCGGGTAGTAATTACTCATACAAGCTTAGTACACCTAATTTTCATTGACGTCTGGAAAATTTAAAAAAATATATAACCAAAAAAGGAAGCTTCGAGTCAGTGGACTGGCGTTAACTTATCTTCTCGATTTTGCACATGAAGTTTGTTTTCTTTCTCTAGCGCAAACCGCTTGATTCAGTCTCGAAAGAACTCCCACGATGGGCCACCAGGCACTGTAATTATGGGCTACTAAATTAAGTTTGGTTAGCTTTGCAAACAACGAATTTCTTATGTTTCAAGTCATTACTACAAGTCTTTTTCATACCTTTGTCAAATCACAGCATTTCTTGTCAATGAAACGTTCTTTAACCAGCTTTGTTTGCGAACCATATGTTAATATTTTCCATGTTTCTTACATGACATTTCAAATCAAAAGAAAAAAGACATTCGCTGCCCTTATCGAGAACTCACTCATACTGGATTGATAACAATGTATTAGTAGGCGTTCGAGTTGAATCCAGTTGCAAAAACTCATTCGACGCTATCAGTCTTTCTCAAGCCTCCGTCCGTTACCCGTTTCCAGAAGAATGAACGCTTCTCAAGGGGACCACGATTCCGTAGCACTTCCCGTCCCGCTCGCGCTTCGCTCTCTAGGAAAGCCCTGAAATGCTGGGGAGACACTTGGCGATTTTATTCGCCGATCGCGGCGTAAATTGTCGATATTTGACACGCCAAATATCGGTGTCTAAAATCGCTAAGTATGTCGCCGGCTCATGAAAGTCCCGCTTGACACTTAGAAGGCGGTTTTAGGGCGTTCCATGAGAAAATTCGGCCAACAGACGCGCGCTTATCTTTCCCCGAGATGACTTCATAGGAAAGTGTACCAAGGAACAAATACTCGCGACAAAAATCAAAGGAAACAACTTTAGAGTTTCCCACATTTTATTATTTGCATCATACAACAACCCAAAAAACCCAACGTAAACAACTCATGTAACCAAGGTTTAGGTTCAACAGAACGCAAATACCATGCAAATTAACATACAATTAGCAGAAAATTAAACAATGTTTAGATTAAAAAAAAAATTAAGAGATCGAGTGACTGTACCTCCTTCTGTTAACTTCAACTATCAATCACAGCTCACCCACTTTGGGACGAAGATTGGAAGGTTTACTTAGTTCAAAAAGTAACGATGCTTGGTAAGAGGCCAACCGTGCTGTAAACACGTCATTTCATTTTATTATCCAGAATTTAGTTGTAAAAGGTTATCAGTTTGTTTTGAAATCAGGAAAAGCCTGTTCCAGGAGTTCAGTTAGCAAAACTTAGCGAAATATCAAACGGCGCGATAGTAGCGGAAGAACGAAAAAACCGAGGGAGAATCGGGTCTGGCCGGGTTCAATATGCGACCCGACCTTGACACCCTGCGTTTTTTTCACTCCTCCGCAACAAAAGCGCAGTTCACTATTACGCTTCGTTTTACAAAATTAATGCCAAGAACAGGCTAAAATAGGAATTGATAATACGTTCCCAACTTTAGAATCGGAAGGGTAACAAAAGTAACAACATTTACGTAGTGAAATAAAACGAATAGACACAGAAACGCAAAAAATATAGAGAGATTAAACGTTCCTAATCAAGCACTATGAAATACTCAAGCGCACCTCTGACCACGATGGACTGCACAAGCAGCTAAGCCCACACCAGTGGACTCGTTTCTTGTTAACTCTGTAAACAGTGTAAACTATCAACTAACAAAAATCACCCAAACGTTAAAGACAATAAATTGTTCCCCAAAAGGAGTTTCCTCTCCTCCATAAAAAGTCATGCAAACGGGAAAAACGATTCACTAGCTTACTGTTGTTCAAAACGTGCTCCTTGTTTCTCGCCTCTAACTGGCCAAACAGTTTTTCCACCCTCAGAAGTAAAAATTACTTCACCCTCGTTTTAATTCAGTTCTTTAAATACTTCGCGATATTGCTGACACTGAAAGGTAAGACTTTTCTTTCCTCAAACAATTACCACAATAAAAAGCCACTAAAAACAATTAGTTTTAACGGTTTAATATAAAGGAAATAATGAAGAGATAAACAAAAAATTTGCAGAAAGCTTACTTTTGAGGAAGCAGGCTCTTGCCGATGCTAAATTAGTCTGTAAAAGAACACTACTCATTCACAAAAATGAATACAACACATCAATCACATGCTGTAAGGAAACACAGAAGAGCTGAAGTTCCAGAACTAACCAACAAACGTTTACAAAACTCGATATGAACACGAGATACAAAATGAGGATGAAGCAGATCAAGATATGCCTAGAAAGAAATCTTTCTGTTGATTTACTGACAAAATAACCAACACAGGTTAATGGAAGAACAAGGGAAAAGCTGTAAAAGAAACTATAGACACTGCAGTAGGGAGAATGGAAACCACAGGGGCGACATAATAAGACAACAGTACGAACACTATATGAGGCTGTAGCAATAAAATATAATCATATTTATGAATATCTATCGCTCAAAGCTTACTCATGGCGACTGAAGAGCGCGTTTAATTACCAATGCTTTAGTTCATTCTGCAAAATAGCAATATTAGTTTACAAGTGTGTACGCGATTTTGTTACATAGAAACCAACACTGCAGAAAATTCAAGTTTAAACAGTTCAAATATTGTTCTGAATGACAACAAGGTTATCGAAAAATATTGAAGCTGGGAAAATGAAGACACTATAATTTTAACACCAATAAATTAGCAATTATCCACCGAACTGGTGGATTCGTCAAACCAGATCCTTTGATTCCTTCCTAAGACAAGGGTTGCTGTGCATGTCATCTGCTTTCAAAGCTTACTGTTGGAGAGAATATGCTCTGGCCAACACTTTACACTTAATGAATGCAAGTATTAATGTCATAACTGAAATATATGCTATAAAGTTTAAGATGTCAAATTCAAACAACAAATTGATCATAGCTTATCGCATTATATCGTGAAAAAGAATAAAAATGATGAATAAAAGTCTTGAAGCTACCAGCATGCCTGTAGTGGACGTCAAAGTTAACATTTCAGCAAAAATTACTCTAGTAATGTGCAATGTATCTACAAGGAGCATCCAACCCCAGTTGAAAACAAAGGGGACTGCATTCTGAAGCATGCACATTCCATCAATGATCAGTAATGTAATTGTAATAAAAATATAATAGAGATTGACAGAGGCATCAACAACTCAAAGCTTACTGAGCTTGGAGAGGCATACTCTTTGCCAATGCTTGCGTAGGTCTGGAAAATAACACTATTTATTCAAGAAAACACAACGTTTGAAGAAACAGTTCAGAACTCCAACAAGAAAAAATTTAGTTGAACGACTGTCAGAAAGATCTAATGATAAAATAGGAAATGATGCTGATATCACAATGAAGTTATTAAATCAACACAACAAAGACATGGCAAACCATTGAATACAATAACATTGTTTTCAAGAACAAATCAAACTCTGTTATCAAAGAATCACTTCATACAACAAGCTTACTGTTGAGATGAACAGTTGCTCTGCCTCTGAAAAACAACTTTGTTGTCAGAGCAAATAGAAATTCAAGTAGCTAGCTACAAACAAAAATGAAAAACACCAGAAAAAACTGAAGGTAAAACTTTAAAGAATCAGCAAGAGACTATCAGAGCCAGCTATGAGCTCCACCGTCTCCACTGACTTTACAACAAATGTACAAAATTTCCCCGAACGTTGTTTTAGTCTGAAAAGCAACATGGTTATTCAACCGAAGCATACAAGAGCACGACAACCTGAAAAGACTCACTGTCTTCCATAATTTTAACAGGAAATGTATATCAATGCTTAATAGCAACCTCTAACAGAACACTAACAATAACCATGATAATGATAAACTGTTGATCTTCTGGACCACATCAAAAATAGCTCCTCTTTGAAAAGACACAGGCCATCCTGTGTTTTGCGTTGTGATTACGCCAGCCCTTGGTAGCCTTGCCAAGATGACCACAGCAGATCAATTTGTGACAATACAAATTTAAGCATTTAAGAAAGTGCAACACATTTTATAATTAACAACAATGCATGGAAATAATTAATAAAACTGGCCCTTTTTAATATAAGCTCAAAAATTACGTGGGAGGACGAGGTAGGTCAATAGATTGCTAACCTATGGTCAACTGAGACTAAGAACGACACGATAAAGAACGTCCGTCGCTGCTTCTGTAGAATGTAAAGTGTAACATGTACCACATGCAAACAATACATAAAAACACTGCAATTCGATCAATTTCATTATCAATGCATCAACAATACAAAATTAACAAAACATTGCAAGTTTGAATACAAGACTAACTCTAACGAGCACGCATTGGCAACAGTGTATCAGTTAACATTTCAATGACTTTTAAAGCAATGAAGACAAGAATCAAACCAGAGGAAACCTTCAAATGTAACAGCTTTACTAAGAAATAATGCTACTGATAATAATATTTAATATCCCTGACTATTTTCTTAACCCTATAAATCAATCACAGGTCTGTACAACTGGGAAAGTAAAAGCTTCATCCAACACCAAACCTGCAGATTTATTTCAGTGACATCAAAAATAGCAATAGTAGAATTACAACAAAATGCACACAAGAAATAAAATGTATCCTTTAATACCACGCCCATTTGGTTTACTTCGTGTCCTATCCTGTAAATTCATACATGTTTACAAACTCAGAGCATATTTGATAGCTGACTACAAATGCAAATCATATTAAAAATCAAAATGTCTATAAGATAGGCTAATAGGAAATCAATGCTAAGAGTAGAACACCAAAATCCTTTGTAAAAAAAGAGATCTTCCTTGCAAAAACAGCTTTCTTGAAGACACCTCTACCTCTCTTCCTAGAAAGAAATGTATGATAGAAATGGTATCATTTAGAATAGCACTTACCATAATTTCTAAAACAACTTTAAAATTTGC